AACTTCATCATTTATTATTCTGTCTGTCGAAGATATTTTAAAAATTTTTCTATATAATTACATTTCGAATGTCTCAAGTTTGTTTAACATATTATTATGTAAGGTTTACGCTTCTCCTCAATAAAACAAAACTGACATCGCGTAGCACCTTAACATTCTAATTTTAAGATGTAAATTAAAAGCATTGCATTTTAAAAATTTCTGCATTCCGATGAAAGTATTCCTCGCATTTTCTATTTTAGATTTAATTTCTTTAATGCATCTGCCATATTCCTGTATGATAGTTCCCAAATACTTAATTGATGAAACTCTCAATTGTTTTGTTTTGTATCTGCAACATTACATTATCTATAATTTTCTTGCACGAAATAAGTAGCTTTGTTTTCTTATAATTCATCTGCAGTCCGTAGAATTTACTTATTGAATTAATATTTTCCATTAGTATTGTCAAATCATTTATAGTATCTGCTAAAACCACTGTATCGTCAGCATAACGTATATTATTTACATTCATCCCATTTATTACAATCCCAATGTGTTCCATATCTTCTAAAGCTTCTTTAAAAATTTCATCTGAATAAATATTAAAAAGTAAAGGTGATAAAATACATCCTTGNCCCTTGGGTGAAATGGCGGCAAGAGTTTTTGTTGAAATTTATTTTTAAATTTGTACTTCACTTCTGGAGGTGCTTAATGTTCATTACTAACATAGTAAATTTTATTTTCTGGTAGTTTTTTGCCGGAGAGAGAGAAATACTTCTCGTCTTCCAAAACGAATGTTTTGTTTCCAAAATTTCTCATCGGCCATCTTTATTGCATTCGGATTTCAGCAATTTTTTTCACCAGTACAAAAATGAATAATATTTTGTACTCTTGTACTCGCAAGTTTTGATCATTTCTTAGTTTTTTAAAATTTATAATGTTTGTTGCCGAAAGTATTCATTATGTGTACAAGTCAATATACTCACCATTAGTTACATAAATGTGATTTTTACCTATAATTCTTAACAACTTTTTTCTTATAATTATTATTATCATTTAATAATACAATTAAGATTAGGAGAATGTGTGTATATGCAATTGATTTCTCTTTTCTATTTTGAATAATATCAAAGTCGATTTTTATGTAAGGTCGCCATTTAAGTTGCTATGGTTTTGAAAATATTTCTTTGTTTTTCGAACTTTTAGGTTTGTCATACATAACAATAAATTAAAAAAATCTAGCAACGAGTTGCGTAACTATCCTGGCTTTTTTGAAATTTTATTTTAAAAATAAATCTGTATTATTAATAAAATTGTATGTGGTGCCATCTGTTACGAGATTTTGACATGGAGGCGGTCTTGTGTACCGAAATGCATGCCAGTAATAAATTTGCATTCTGACGATGGAAGTGTTATTTTGATGTTACCAGTAGCAGTGTGATAAGTCTCTGTTATCTCTGTACTATTTGAGATATTAGCTTCAACAATTTTCGAGACAAGAAACTGTTTTATAAAAATTGCAGCCCGGCATTGTGACCATGTCGCAATAAATAATTGCTCGTCTAATTATAATTTGATATCTTTGATATGGTGCCAGTTATAATACATGATAATTCACGGCTTGAACTTGGTGTTTCGGGACTAACACTTTTAGTGATAGTTTTGTTCTTGAGATTCCTGCGTTTCGGTTTAAGAGCCATACTATGTCACGTGTGTCCGTTAGACGGGTTGCCTGACCGCTAATAGATGGCGTTTAGTCTGGTCTAATTTATTGCTAAAAATAATTAAAATTACGTTAAAAATTAACAGAAATAATAATAAGACGTTAATTTACGTAATAAATTAAATTAAAATAAAAGTAAAAATTAAATTACTCTGACAAAATTTTTGAAAATTATCGAGATGGCGCTAGCGTCGGAGACGATGTTTGCCGACCGACATAACGTATATTATTTACATTCATCCCATTTATTACAATCCCAATGTGTTCCATATCTTCTAAAGCTTCTTTAAAAATTTCATCTGAATAAATATTAAAAAGTAAAGGTGATAAAATACTCCTTACCAATGTCTATACAACACTATTTCTCTTACTATATCAATTTTTGTATTGTATAGTTTGTTTTTCCAAGTCTGCATCTTCTTTTCTTCATGTTGTTTTTGAGTGTTTTTCGTATTACATGTTCTGTCAATTTTTTATTATACGATAGGTCGGAGATGTTCCGTTGAAGAAACTGTAATTATCTTTCATTTAAAATTCCGATTGTAAGTGATGAATTTCAGTTACTTAATTAAATATAATTAAGATCGTAGAAGTTACACAGGATTATCAATGTTTTACAGGAGAGATAAATGTATAACTTTTATAAGACTTGAAATTATCTTGTTGTTGTCACAAGTATTGTTTCTTCAATAATAAGTGTCGAAAGAATTGTTGGAATGATTGTTTCATTCTTGACCTCTTTGTATCAAGAATAGAAACAATCATTCCAACAATTCTTGTCATAGCAATCGTGCCATAGCAATCGTGTCTATATCGATTGTCCCAAGTAAGATGTATGGAACCTCATAAACAAATGAGGTTCCATACAGTTACAAACAAACGGTCTTATGGACCCTCCGGGAAATTTTTTTTTATTTTTGGATGTTTTTAAGTCTCCAAATTTTTTACAAAAATTTTTTTCCACGCGAAAAAATTTTATCGCGATTTTAATCTACCTTTAATGACGCAGGATTAACGCTTAATTGTTTTTTATGGGATTTTTTTAAATCAAATTTCATTCATCGTTCTAAAGTTCTAGTGCACGGATTTTACTTCGGTAAAGTTATTTAAAGGTAGTTTCTGATGTCAAAAACGACCTCCAATAGTTTAAAATTTTTTTAATTAATAGATTTTATTATATATACGTTTAATTACGTCGGTGGATCGGAAATCGCAATAAAAAACGTAATTTTTTAAAAATATTTTAAAATATACGGCCAGCTAGTATTCACCCTATTTTAAACTCTTCTCCTGTACATTTTATGAGAATGTTCCGCGAAAGACGATACCAGCTGTTCTCAAGGTCATCCACCTGTAAACAAAATTACTCATTGGCGTCAGATTTCTCAGAAAGGGGAGACAAAGGAAGTTAAACTTTGAAGCTTTTTCTTCAAAATTAACTCAGTTTTAAGTATTTTTTATGTTTAATTAAAGATTTTAAAATAAAAAGTAGGCAAAAAGGGGTTAATTGTTGCGCGTTATTGAAAAGTAACATTAATAAAATATATTCTCTTACTTACAAAGATTCTACAATAAATATTTTGATTTGAAATGTAGTTTGCAGTTAGTTTTTGTTTTCGTAACGTGCCCGTAAAGGGCTTTGTATAGCGACACAAGATGCTACATGCGTCTGAATCAACATGAATTCCATCAATATTAGAAAAAAAGCGAAGAAATCATTTGTGTGGTATTTTTGCTGGCCGACCTTTCTCGTAAACTATTTGTGCCAAATATCCAAAGAAATCCTCGATTGGCTGGCAATGTCGCAAATTTGAAGGATTAATTAACTTTTTGAACCCAATGGAGTGTTTTTGTCCTTTAAGAACTCCATCGTAAGCTTTGTCATACCAAAAGATGAATTCGTTATGTTAAGAAAAGGGATTAGAATTTTCTTTAGACATTTCTTTTAGTATCAATTGCAAGGGATCTCTTCTTAAAAGATGGCTCCGAAACACCCGTGGGTGAAATGGCGGCAAGAGTTTTTGTTGAAATTTATTTTTAAATTTGTACTTCACTTCTGGAGGTGCTTAATGTTCATTACTAACATAGTAAATTTTATTTTCTGGTAGTTTTTTGCCGGAGAGAGAGAAATACTTCTCGTCTTCCAAAACGAATGTTTTGTTTCCAAAATTTCTCATCGGCCATCTTTATTGCATTCGGATTTCAGCAATTTTTTTCACCAGTACAAAAATGAATAATATTTTGTACTCTTGTACTCGCAAGTTTTGATCATTTCTTAGTTTTTTAAAATTTATAATGTTTGTTGCCGAAAGTATTCATTATGTGTACAAGTCAATATACTCACCATTAGTTACATAAATGTGATTTTTACCTATAATTCTTAACAACTTTTTTCTTATAATTATTATTATCATTTAATAATACAATTAAGATTAGGAGAATGTGTGTATATGCAATTGATTTCTCTTTTCTATTTTGAATAATATCAAAGTCGATTTTTATGTAAGGTCGCCATTTAAGTTGCTATGGTTTTGAAAATATTTCTTTGTTTTTCGAACTTTTAGGTTTGTCATACATAACAATAAATTAAAAAAATCTAGCAACGAGTTGCGTAACTATCCTGGCTTTTTTGAAATTTTATTTTAAAAATAAATCTGTATTATTAATAAAATTGTATGTGGTGCCATCTGTTACGAGATTTTGACATGGAGGCGGTCTTGTGTACCGAAATGCATGCCAGTAATAAATTTGCATTCTGACGATGGAAGTGTTATTTTGATGTTACCAGTAGCAGTGTGATAAGTCTCTGTTATCTCTGTACTATTTGAGATATTAGCTTCAACAATTTTCGAGACAAGAAACTGTTTTATAAAAATTGCAGCCCGGCATTGTGACCATGTCGCAATAAATAATTGCTCGTCTAATTATAATTTGATATCTTTGATATGGTGCCAGTTATAATACATGATAATTCACGGCTTGAACTTGGTGTTTCGGGACTAACACTTTTAGTGATAGTTTTGTTCTTGAGATTCCTGCGTTTCGGTTTAAGAGCCATACTATGTCACGTGTGTCCGTTAGACGGGTTGCCTGACCGCTAATAGATGGCGTTTAGTCTGGTCTAATTTATTGCTAAAAATAATTAAAATTACGTTAAAAATTAACAGAAATAATAATAAGACGTTAATTTACGTAATAAATTAAATTAAAATAAAAGTAAAAATTAAATTACTCTGACAAAATTTTTGAAAATTATCGAGATGGCGCTAGCGTCGGAGACGATGTTTGCCGACCGAACATGTGATGTAGGAGAGCGGTAACGTATATTTATAGGGAAGTCAATTTGAATATCGATATAGAATTAAACCGTTTACTCTTTTAGCATCAGTGATATACTTTAACTATCTGACGAACGTCGAACATGAACGAAGATAACGAAATGGCAAAAGCTTTACGTTTAATTAACGAAAAGATACGAATGTCGTGGGAAAAGAGACCAAAGGTAATCGAATTAATGATATAAATCTTGATTTTAAGGATTAAAATGTATTTGGTGACTCGGTAATGCGAAGACCGTGAGATATTCTCTGTAGAGAGGATGCAGAACTACACCTATTTTCAATTAAAAAGAAAATATATTACTATGCTTCTCCACACTTTTCTAGCCTCTTGCAACTGATGTAAGAGACTGGAAATGATGGACCATATTTGTCCATCATTTTCAATTCCTTGCGGTAAAATTGCAGATGTGAATGATGCCGGTGGGACCTTAGAGCATGTTTGTAGGAGCAAAAAAGTCAAAGGAACCATACCTCCGTGACCCTTCTGAGTTGTAGTTTCCAAAATCTGCCTAAAGCCTATTTCCTGGTGTTATGGGGAGTTGCGCTGTGTGCTCCACTAAACCTATCGCTTGTTTAACGCTTGGTACGGTGTGGTGATTGGATGTTCTAATGGTATTTATTGGTAAAAAATAAAGAAAAGTCCAACAGCCGACCCTTTGTGAGATATTCGTTTCCAAATGTGGAACCTGGCAGCGGCTGGAACTGCTGCCGTCTTACTTGTGAACGTTGCACTTGAAAGCAAGTTATTTTACAGGCATGGCAATCGGTGCCTATAACAAATAATTAATGCATTAACTTCTATGACCAAAAAACAGTTTTTACCTCGAACTGGTACTACTGCCTATTCTCCATTGTGTAGTTGTCTGCTTTGATGTGAGCAATGGCAAGCCCCCACACCCTCGTAAAACTATATAGCATCGAGTACTCCACAGACGGTCGAGTGGGCTACTCAAAGCCGGCATAGTCTTGTGGAATAAATAATTAATGTGATAGTTTTAGTGGAGCACATGGTGCAATTTGTGCTTGCGTTTGGCTAATTTTGAGGGCTATATCTCGCAAAGGATCATGTTTAGAGGTATGGTTCCTTTGACTTTTTGCTTCTACACGGACATGCTGTATAGCTCTGTTAAGGTTCCAATGGCATCATTCACATCTGCAATTGTGTCAATCGGATTATGTGACTTCGATGGCAGAAAGTAAGGCAATCTTATGCAAACAGAAAAAATTTAAATTGATATTTTTGGAAACATATCGAAAAGGGAATTTAGGTATAGATTCAAACTGACTGTAACTTTGACATGACAATGTAATGATTTTATACTTTTTCTATTTCTCTTTTTGGAAACATGTAGAGTATACTTTAGTGTACTTACTATACAAGAACTTACATCAATGGGGTTTACAGATAAACATTAAGAAAACAAAGGTGTTGGTGGAAAAAGAATACTGGGAAGACAAAAGCTAACATTGGGACTGATGGAAAGCAGGTAGAACAAGTAAGAAATTTTACTTATTTAGGGAGTGAAATCACAGATGATGACAGATGTATAAAGGAGATCAAGAAAAGGCTAGGACTTCTGAAACAAGCTTTCCAAAACAAAAATTTATTAATATCAAAAGACCTAAATTTGGAAGGTTTGAAAACATCATCCTGAGTTTTGTTTTGTTTCTTGTATGTAGAAGTCAGCAAATAGTTGCATTATGAAGTGAATATGTACTTGACAACTCAGTAATGTTTCATTATTCACCTATTTTAACTGAATGACTAATAATAATTATCAATTATGTGATAAATTATTTTGGTTCAAAATGTACCTTGTTTATTCTCCACTTTTAATAGTCGTTTTGTCTGACTAAATATCTTTTTAGATTAAAATCTAGGTCAGAGGTTCCCAACCTTTTTCATGTATTGACTTATTTTAAGAAACTTTTTCTATTCATCCCCTTGAATATATATATATATATATATAAAATAAAATATTATTATAACTTCTTCGTGCACACCAGGGCATCAATGTGGACTTCGCAGGGGCATCGTTAGTAGTCAAAACAAAACGCATGGAACACCTCAAATGACTAGAAACGATGGAAATATATAAGGTGCACACTACATCTACGTGCATTAACTCCCGAGAAGAAATGACTCTTTCGTTAGCTTGTCAAGCCTTATTATGTAATGATTACTAAGAATGTGCTTGGTGTAGGAGGTTACACGAGGACATGTGAAGATCATAATAAAAATAATACATTAGACACATAAGAGAAGAGTAAATGAAAGGAACACGACAGATACAACACATGCGCAATAGATATCACGCAATTGAAACATCATTCAAATTTCTCTTTTTAAAAAACTGTGTGATGGTGTTCGGGAATAAGGAATCCAACCGTTTTACCTGAAGAAGGACACGGAAGGTGTTCGGAAAATGTTTGTTTTTACAAAATTATTTATTTTGTATTTCTACACACCGGTTAGAGGCACAAGTAAGTAGGTTTTTGTTTAAAATATTATTGTTGCAAAAACAAGTGTTCTTCCGGGAAATGAATGATAGAACTCGTCAAGAATCAAGATAAGCAAAAAATGCAATGTATATGCAAATTTGAGATAGTTACCAAAATATTCAAGTTTAAAGTTGCAATAAAAATGACTTATTTTAAAATTTCAGTGCTGCCAGTTTAGAGGGAGTCAACTGCAATGACAAGCTTTTTGTGATTGTTTTCAGTCTGTCCTTCCAAAGAATCTTTCTGAAAGTTCAGAATTAACTATTTTAAAAAACCTTCTTACTGATTATTTTGCTTGGAAAAACAATTTAACACTTGGATTGTTAAAAAGTTAAATTATCTCATAAGTAAATATTAAAATGTAAGTTTAGTTAAGTATATTAATTTATCATAATCATTCTAAGAAATTCATTGTAGCATTACTCATTGTTTGAGATCAGACAATCACAATATTATAGCTGATAAAATAAAGTAAATATTTATTCATTCATTGTCATTTTACACTAAGATATTGTTTACTGTATCTTTCAGCTTTAATATCTAAACAAAAATTATTTATTTGGTATATTTGTCATTCTGGAATGTAATGCATTTGTGTACTGTGACATACGTAACAAGATAGCTTTATTTATTAACACAATCACTCAAAAGGGGTCTTTTGACAATGCAGCACATCTCCAAATCCTTCTAACTCCGACAATTAATAGAAACTAGGGATCACTTGGTAGATTGTATTAATTAACAGTTTCTTTTCATTAGATGCATTTGCTGATCCCTCTTCAGTCTACCAAATTATAAAATACTATTTACAAAATGCAATCATTATCTTTTTTAAAAAATGTAAAAATTTACACCATTAAATACATATACAAAAAGAAAGACTTTTGCAGTCTTCTTTAATGCTCTTTCACAATCACTGGAACACAGTCAACATTGGCAGAGTCTACTTTGTAGACACTTCTCTGCCTAATATATATATATGTTAATTGTTTTAGAATTTTTTTCTTTACAATGAAAATTTTAAAATCCAGGATGAAAAATGTTTATTAAAAAATTTACATCAGTACTTCTTTTATAGGCAGGGAAGAGCCTATAAAAAAAGGTTGACTCTGCCAATATCGACTGTGTTCCAATGATTGTGAAAGGATGTTGAAGACGACTCTAAAAGTCTTTCTTTTGTATATGTCTTCAATGATGTAAATTTTTACATTTTTTTAAAATATATATTTTGCCATGAATTTTTAGAATTTTTTCCTTTACAACGTAATCATTAATTTTAAAAATTACAAATCTAAAAAACTTACAAATAAATGTAATTTACAGCAAGGATCATACCCTCCAGTTTGACAATCAATCACCCATTTCATAGTAATACTGACATATCATCTTGTATCACTTAACATTTTGATTTTATCATTATATATGATGTCATCCCAAATATAATTAACTGACATTCCATATTCCATTATTTAAATTAACGTTATTCGTAATCACGATAAGTTCTATAAACCTACATAAATATAAATTATGTTCTATAAACAAAATTTTAAGGTCATTTCTGTTAACTGTACAGTACATTCTTTTATACTACAGTGATGAAATCGGAATGATTTATATATGTTGTACACGAATTTCCACTTTGTGATCTTTTAACTTCGTTTCCAACATTCTTTTAGTCTCCACAACATAATAAACTTTACATTTGCATGTGCAAGATATTTTTCTTACATCAGACTTCTTTACTTTGTCTTGTCTACTTTTATCTTGTTTTAAATAGTTTAATTAATTTAAATACAGTTGTCCCTCGATAGTCCGACGTTTTTTAATCCGATATGCTCAGTAGTCCGACGCACCTCCCGTCAAGGTACCTGTCCCCGTTACGTGTCTGCTTGCACAGAAGCATGTCGCGATGTGAATCTCCCCATCCAATTCTTACTTGATGACACACATTTCGTGTGTTTTATGTGAGCAGTTCTGTTCAAACAGTTGGAGTAGAGAATATTGTAAGTTACTGCTAGCAAAACAATGCGAAATATGTAATTATTTTCGGTAATCCGGACACTTTTGGTAATCTGACACACCTTTGGTCCCATACCTGTCGGATTATCGAGGGACAACTGTACTAGAATGTCAGTTTATGATGTTTGGGATGATGTCATTATGTAGAATGCACCATAAGTTCCTGACCTAATGAGAAAGAGCAAGAGGAAAAAACAAATAATCACTTATGACAATGTTTAAAAAACAGTTCAGTCCCTTTATAAAAATATTCTGAAGATTTTTATTTAAAATGGTTTATTACTGCTGTTTGCAGCTCCTCATCACTGTCAAAATGTCTTTCTCAAAGAGCTTTTTTTAAATCTAGAAACAAAAAATAGTTTGATGGGATCAGATCTAGGTTGTAAGGTATGTGATTGAGCTCCTCAAAACCACAGTCCTGAATGGCAGCTTGAGCAAGTGCTGCAAGGTAGATTGTCATGCAACAGCTACACCCCTCTTGTTAATTTTCCTCTTTGTTTTTTGCACATCCTTGCTTGCATCTGATGTAGCAACATTGAATAATATTTTGCATTTACACTAGTATTTCTTTCTTTAAAGTCCACCACAAATATGGCCTCACAGTTCCAAAAAACAGTAGCCATGATCTTCTCAGTTAAAGGTGACATTTTAGATTTTTTTTGGGCTCCCTCCCATGCTTTTTGCCACTCCATTGATTCCATTTTGGAAAAGGATCATAATAAAGGACTATAGTTTCATCCCCTGTAACAATAGATTTTAAAAAATAAACTCCTCTGCTTTGTAAAGATCCAAAGTTGACTGTGCACTTTCTACATGCTACTGCATTGGACAGCAGAACAAAGTTTGGGAATCCTTCTTGCACGCTGACTTTGTTCATGCCTAGATGCTCATGAAGTACAGGTAACCCCCGTATAACACGGTAGTTACGTTCCAAAAAATTGCCGTGTTATGCGAATCCGTGTTATACGAAACAAAGAACTAATACGAAAAAGAGGGTTAGGTTCCAAAAATTAAAAAACATGCTAGTATATTTTCATAATTAAGATAAATATCTTCATTAAAATTTTTTTAAGTGATACATATTAATATAAATTAAACAATGTTTACTTCGTCATCACTAAAATCACTATTAATTAACCGAGAACGTTTTCTTTTTGGCAAGTTATCCTTATCCTCTGAGCATTTTTCTGCATTATCTTCAGATCCATGCTTTACCTTTTGCAAAATGTATGTAATTTTAGATTGCTTGCTTCTAGTTAAAAGGTCTTTATAAATTTCCTTATATGGTGCTAAGCACTTATGAAGAATAAAGCAAGTATGGAATAAGGGAAAAACATTCGGCAACATCAGAAGCAGAAGCGTCGCGATCTGGCAACATTGAAACAAGTTTCGAGAAGGACCACGTGTATCGACAGAAGGCGAGAAGAGAAAATTCACAAACTCAAGTACTAATAGTTCACGAAAATTATTATTTTCGTGAACTATTATTACTTAAGTATGTAAAAATTTATTACATTTCCTGTTGTACGAGGGTTTTACCCAATTCTCGAACCGTGTCAGAGTAAATCCATGCTATAAAAGTACCGTGTTATACGGGGGATGGTACCAATTCTCGAACCGTGTTAGAGCGAATCCGTGCTATAGAAGTGCCGTGTTATACGGGGGTTACCTGTATATGTCAAACACTCATTTCTGGTAGGTTGGTCATTGCTGCTATTTCTTTCACTTTCAATCAATGATCTGAAAGAACCAGCTCCTCAACCACTCCAGTTTTAATTTCCTGGCTGCTATGTATACATGATAAGGGAAAGTATGGGAATTATATCAAATTTGACCCTCCAAGTATTTTACAAATCGCCATGTTTCGAGACATCCTGAATCAAAAAAGGCAAAAAGAATTCCTTGGATATGTGTGTGTTGGCATCTATTTTGCTTAATATCTCTGGATGGGGTAAAGATTAAGAAATGAAATTTGGCATGATGGCTTGTATGTGAGGGGTATTTAATGCTATTAAATTTTAATGGTGAAAGGTGGAGAGGATGGGAGACAGAGGGGATCGTGTATCTCGAGAGCATAGGACTTAATGAAGATTTTATTTGTTATAAAATTTACACTTGTTTTTTTTTTTATATAAAACTCTCCCCTACCCTCAAAATTAATCTTTTTGCCATTTTATAGTAATTAAAATTATAAAAGGTTTTTATAACAAAATCTGATAACAGATGGCACCCCACACAATTTTATTTTTTGCTTAATAATATAAAAAGCTTTTTTAATAAAAACTTATAACATCCAGGAATGTTACACATCTCTCATTGCTAGATTTTTTCCGAGCTTACCGCATCTACTGGACAACCAGATCTTGCATCATCAAGGAATTCTTGTCCTAATTGAAAACATTTAGTTCATTCTTTGACAGTGATATATTATGGCAAAGCTTCTTTGTACACATGATCTAGGCATTGCTTGATTTCCATGTGTGTTTGGCCTTCTTTTGTAAGAAACTTGATGACTGCTTGATACTCTAGTTTAAAGTTTTCTGCCAAGGTCCACTATAAATCACCTTTTAGTACAGCCACAAGACATTAATCTTTTATATATGTGACAATGCACGAAGAGCCCCCTAGGCTTCCGCATCACTTGACCAAAGGGTCTATATTGGTTTGGCAATGACTACGTCAGGATAGGAGACACTGCACAGCAACTAGGGCTGTTTTTATTTAATGTAGGGGTTATTGTTGTGAGGTCCCGCGAGCGTGATCTGAGAGACGGCATGCCAGAAGTGAATCACTCAGATGCCAGGTTAACAACTAGTAACCATTTATTTTTCATATTAGATCTACAGGCTAATGGTAGCAAGACAATTAGACATTGGATATGAGAGTAACATGGACATATTTGTGAGAGAGAGAGAGTTCACATGAAATTCGTGTGGAGATAAATACCTTAGTTTGAAAGATCTGTTTGTAGACCTGATGCAAGAGACAATTCGGTCTGTCCCTTAGGAAGGTTGAATAAATGAGGAGGTTGGTACATTAGAAGAGTTCTGGATAATGTTCTGACTCAGAGTCAGTCATATATTCGTTTTGGAGGTACATAGTTAGTGGTATTAGTCAAAGGATTGGCGATAACTTCTGATATAAGACCAGGTGGCAACTTGTTGCATCAGGGAGGAATGGGCGATGACTTGTTGACTTGGGGAGGAATGGGTGACGACTGCCTATTGAGGGACCAGTGACGACTGACTCCTTGGGCCATCAGTTCCAATATTAAAATGGTAGAGAACAGCCGGGGGGTCAAAGAGCCACAGGAAAGCATTGTTTTTGCTGCCAAGAAAATTAAATTGGGATGTTCTTAGGTAGTAAAGGACAACAGTCATCCAAATAGGTATGACATCATGCATTTTTTTTCATTGACTTCCGGGTTCTCACATATACTTGTATTGTCATGTCTTTTGGTTATTTGTAGTACATTAGGTTGGGAACTTATGGCACTTCCTTCATATAATGATAAAATCAAAATGTTATGTGATACAGATGATACCTGTCAATATTACTATGTAGCAGGTGATTGTCAAACAACAGGGTATGATTATTGTTGTAGATTACATTGTATTTAAAAATTAATGATTGTATTTTGTACATAGCTTTTCATATTTTGGTAGGACTGAAGAGTGATTGGTAAGTTATTACTCAAATTTTTCCTATATGCGCTACTCCATATCTGTTGTCACTCCTCCCAAGGCAGCCACAATTCTATGGTTGCTACAGATTACTCACGTTGCACGAGTGATTCTGACTTCTGCAGTATACCTCCCTTCTTTGTTGCAGATTTGCCATTTTTCATTTACGGTGCTTCCTAGAGCAGGGGTTGCTGTAAAAAATTTTAAAAAGTTGCCAACCATTTTAAGTTTTAAATTATTTTCTCCACTTCAAATTATTCACTTGGATATAGAAATCATTTTTGAATATTTTTTTTAACAAATAATTCTTTATAACATGTTTTATCACAGTGTTTTACATGTTCTGTCATATCAAAATTTTTGTGCTTCAATCTACTGAAAAACAATCAGAGTTATAAAAAAAAATGTCATCTCAAAAAAATTCCCTAAATTTTCTGTCAATTGATAAAAAAAATCCTCAAAGTGGAAGTGCTGGGAGGCATTGAATGAAAACTACCTTCAGTTCTCAATGTAACTTCCTGCTTTTCTCTCCAAACTTGTCATTGCAATATCATGGTTTGTGGTGCAAGGGACCTCTCATCTCACGGGAGCTAGACATTCTCCTGTTTTTCCCATAGCGTGTTTTGTATTCAGTTTCGTGCTGAATGTCAAAATAAGTGGACGAGGGTTTTTATTGCCACTTTAATAAAAATATTGCCAAGTGGCGACTTTGGCACTATGCAGTGTGACCCCTGGTAGAGGTAGTAAACAAGAGATTTGAAGGCAGGTGGGATATGAGACTCTATTGATTGGTATATGTTGCATACTTCTTAGTTACTGTAATAATTAACATAATTATAATAATTTAAAATGGTAGCATTCTGTTTTGGAAGACCTGTATATATGTTGCAGTGAATTGTTGATTTTTCACAAACATTTTAAAGCTTTAAATTAATTTAGTTTTTTCAATAATTATCTCTTACTTTAATATTATAATATAATTTTGGTATATGTTTTTACAGGAGTTTGCTAATTCTTTGCCTCGTCTGGTGGCCGTTAGCAAGACCAAACCTAAGGAAATGATCATAAATGCTTATAATAACGGACAGAGGCATTTTGGCGAAAATTACGNCTTTGTAAATAAATAAATAAATAAATTATATATATATATTTAATAATATATATAATTTAAAATATGATAATAAAGCAATTTATTTTTAAATGTTCAAGGTTTCAGAAATTGTTGAAAAAGCAAATGATCCAGAAGTAAGTTTTATTATTTCTATTACATGTCAGTTATTAAATTGTTTACAAATCTTTGAATTAATCTCAAATTTCAATTCATTCTAGATAATTGAAAAATGTAAAGAAATACAATGGCATTTCATTGGACGTTTGCAAAGAAATAAAATAAATAAATTACTAAGTAAGTTTTCTTTAAATTATATTTTTAGAAATTTAATTTTAATTTAACTATATTAAATCCAAACTTTTCTCAATTCTTAAAACTTGTTAATCAGTTCACAGAAGCTGTTTGACTAAAGTCATTAATAATACTTAATGCTAATGCTTTTTACTTTCCTTTCTATTGTAACATGTTAATTGTGTCAAATTTCACCCTCTGCGCTTTTTAAGTGACATTCCGTTAGCTCGGCATTGTCGGAACCAATGCAGTACTGGGTTATCAAATAAGCTGCCTTACCAGATGGTGCAAGTTATTTTGATTCCCTGGTCACATTACATATCTTCTCATGTAAACCTGTACAAATCCAAATTTTATGATTGTGTAACACCATTTCAATTTTTTCAGGCTATTCCTATACTTGGTTGGCTTGAAACAAGAACACTCCATTCTTACTATTTGCTTTGTACACTTTTATTGCATATAAATACAAACTCTAATTATTAAAGTACACAAACTACTGTAACTATTTTTGTGAAAATTATTGATTCCAAGTGTGGTAAATATTTTTGCTTCTCATATCAAACCCATACACTAGTGTCTTTGGAAAAGTCTTGAAAAATCATGCATGAGCGATCACTTAGTACAGCATCATGTTGGCTTGACATTTCTCATCTTTAAAAGAACCATTCACCTTTCCAAGAACTGCATATTTTGAGCACTTTTACATGAAAATCTTAACTCTGAACCTAATCAGTGCACTTTATAATCCCCCAACAATGAGCTTGACATCGATTTATCAGCATACTGGATGCCGGGTTAACAGAATTTCATTATATTGACATTTTGAGATCCTCTAAACTCAAAAAAGTAAAACAGAGAAAAAACAAATGGAAAAATTCCTGGAGGTGTGTGTGTTGGCAACTATTTGGTTTAATATCTCAGGATGGAGTAAAGATTAATTAATTAAGGAACAAAATTTTGCATGGTAAATTGCATATTGATACTATTAAATTTCGGGTCCCCTTAACCTTCTGTTTGAGTGCCAAGAAAATCGAGAAAGATGCCTTGCCAATTTTTTAACACTAGAGTGCCTTGCTTTTCCACATACCTAGAATAACTGCTAGCAGTCAAAATGACCATCACACAGGTGGGAGAATTGTTTTTCTTTTTTTTTTAATACAAAATTTTAAAGATTTGTATTCAAGTTATTTATTTAAATCCTTTAACATACATTGTAATGTAATGTCAAATGAATGAGAACACAATTACAAAATTTTCTATAAATATTTATTACTATAATTCTGAGTGATCTTCTGTGCATAGTTTTTATAATTTTCCTTCTTAAGTGCATATTATATATAATTTTTTGTTTCTATACCTGTGCACTTTCTACAACATGTTTTGTTGTAAGTTAATATTGGTGTTTCTTTGAACTTTTAGATGGGATTTGATTATTTTGCTCAATTACCAAGGGTCCTTTGTCAAACATGCTTATAACTAAGTTCGTTGACAAACTTAAAAAATTGTCTCTATATTTTGACCAATAACTTTACATGTTATCTGGGCATTGATTCCTATTAGGTCTAGTATGTTGAAAAATACATCTCCAAATGAGTTATTCTAGCAGTGTACTTGTGATCCATTTAGTAAACAATATAAGAGTTTTGTCCAATTGTAAAATTATACTGTTTTGGGTAATTTTTCAGCTGTGTCAATATTTATATTAGAACATTGAATGCTGAGTACAAGGACATTTTTGTTTTTTTTTTTTTATCTTGATGTATGGAAAGTGTAATATCACTTCTTGATTTTAGAATTTTGATGAATGAAGGCTTTTTTATAATTGTGTATGACTGCTTGAATTGTTTTATTGTACACTGAAGTGTACGATAAAAAAATTGTGTTCATAATACTCGCTGAATGACTAAAGGCAAAATAAACAAGTTTGAGATGTAAAAAAAATTATCTGTTATAACATTATGCCCTATGTTAAGATAGAGTTGTATTCATTTTAAGATTGCTCTTTTAGAAAGAGGCTTGTTCTCAAAGCATTGTTTGTCTTTTTCCAGATAAGGGAATCCAGTGAATATGTTAATACTTTGATTCTGGGTCAACAAGCATCTGGTACTTGGTTCCAAATTTATCTGGCTTATTTTCCATCTACTGTGTAAATTTACACTGAATCTTGCTAGGAAATACAGTGGGTGATTGGTTAACGAACATAATCTGTTCCAAGACTTTGTTTGTTAACCTATTATTGATTTACCATAGGTTTTGGTTTGGTTGCCACTTGGGTGATTGTTGTTTTGACATCCTTGAGTTCTTCTGTTGTCAGATCAGTTTCAGGTTCCATTATGAGCTCTAAAATGCTTTTTATTTCTTAGATGTGATTTTCATTACTCCATTAGCAGCTTGAGCCTTCTTGATATATCTTTCATAGCTAACTACTTTCTACCTTGACTATTATCTCTTACTTGGTTTCTACAGTGAGCACAGTTCTTGACACTCCTCTTTTTAGGCTCTATAATATTATCAGTTTCTTTTTTAAATAAAAAGTTCAGAAAAGCACTTACAAAAATTCAGAGAACAGAAATCAACTAGCCCACAAAAAATTATTTAAATGCAAGGCCCGGATGAAATTCAAAATTTGGTATTAAAACTTTAATGAATATCCGATGGGACAGTTAAACTTTCATCTTTTGTAAATAAACCCCAATGCAAAACTTAACAAGTGCCCATCGGACAGTCTCACGAATACTATAAAAAGTTATTTGTCAGAAAGGTAAACTAAAAGCTGGAATTACAAGGGAGAGTTTCAAAATTTGGAGGGATATTATCCGATCAGTATCGGGTTGAGCGTCAATGTTGATGTCTCCTGCACTCCAAAATGATTAGAATTGTTACCTGAAGACAAGGGAAAATCAATCGGTTTCCGTCATTTCTTTTTACGTTTGTTCAGTAAAGTGTTCGTTGTCCGATCATAATAATCTTTCGCGAAAGTGTTCGTTATGCGATTTGTTCATTAACCGATCACCCACTGTAGTTGTTTGTCAGCCGTAACATTTTGCTCTGGTTTTTAGCAAAGAATTCAATTTTTTAAGAATTTATTCCATGTTTCTGACACCAGAGCAAACTTATTGGTTTTTAGTCTGTATGGTTATTTTTTGTATTGAAATGCAGATAATGCAAAATTTCCTCAAATCTCTTCCTACTGCATCAGAAAATACTGGTGGACCCCATACATTTGACCACTTTTGGTACAAATTCAAGTTAGTTGTTCTCTGAGCATTACAAATGTACAAAAATGCAATGAATGCCTAAAGCTTCTCTGAAGAAAGTGACCAGTTTTTGGTTCTATGTACCTCTGCTCTTTACGTTTTTTTTATATGACTAAGCAATATTTTCATCTATAAATATGTGCCAAGTGGTTTGAATGGTGCCTGGCTTGAATTTGTATAACATTTCTTTCAAAACATTTTGTGCAGAAACCTATTACAAGTGCCAGTACTATGTTCAGAGCCGTAACTAGCCATTCCTGTGCCCTGTGCAAGAATTTGCATTTAGGCCCCTTAATTTATTTGGTTTGGGAAAATAATAAAACAAATATATTACAATAGATTTTTAATAAGATTTATTTTAATTGAACTTTTCTGGCTTTCATTTCAGCAAATTTATTAATTACATTATCATAATTAATATTTTTAATGATAATGTATTTTATTGAAATAATAGACATATTAGACAATCGTTCTTGCCCTATAATTAATCTTAATAAATTTTTTATTAATTTTAACTTGCTAAAATTTCTCTCGCAAGAAGAAATAGAAAGGGGAAGAGTTAGAAATATTAGAAGAGCGACATTGATATTTGGGTAAGACTCAATTAAACCAAAATCATGAAGAGCCTGTGGAATATTAAGCGGAGATGCAGTTTCTATATTTTGTATAAGAGTCGTTACTGCAAACTTAAAACTTTCAATTTCACTTGTGAATTCGTACTTTTTTAAATCTTTGCTGTATTTAATAGCGAGATCTGCAGCTGATTTCTTTTAAAATCAGCAACACTCGTGTATTGTAAAGAAGAGCCATAGAGAAAGCAAAAATCAGCCTTTTTTCAGTAGCATTTTAAAGACCTCGGGGGCCTCCTTTGAGGTCCTACTCGGCCGCATAGTTCACTTACCGTTTAATCCACCGTTGAGGTATACAACACATATGCGTAGCATTATAAAGCAAAAAGTTGTCAGAATTTCTGTACACCTTTTATAACCTTGAGACTAAGATTTTATTTGAGAGTTACCACATTTTTAATTTAGCAATTAAAAAAATCCCCGGGCAGATTTATTTTTCTTACAAAATGTTACCTTTACAGATTTCTAGCTCTGCACACTGTAGAAAAATTCGGAAATACAGTTTTGTATATCGTAATAATATTAGTCGTTGCCAGAGAGCTCTATAAAGTAGAGAAAAATCTATAAATTCGAAAACTATAAACATAAATTTATCAAAAAATAAATAAATAAAATTTCGAAAATCACTTCTTTTGGCTGATTTGTCTGCAGTCTCCGCTATTTCACTACGTGCCTCTAAAAGTCGCCAGGGTTGGGAACACTGGTGAGCAGACATCTAGGGTCTAAATAAGGCTAAATGTGATCGCCAATAAAAAGGATGAAAAATTTAAGATTTAAAGCTATAATTTCTTGTGAACAGCAGTTTGGGCCCCCCTTCCAAGTGGGCTCTGTGTGAATGCACCTGTTGCACCTGCCTAGTTATGGCTCTGACTATGTTCAATAACTACAAATGATACCTTTGTCCTTCCCAACACAACGGTTTCCAATGCCAAGTAGTAGTCTATTGCTACTTTTCTTATAAAATATAGAAACCCAATTTTCTTGTGATATATAAGCGTAGGAAGGGTGCAAGGCAAAAACTCAAGGTCAACTTCATAGTTGACCCTGCCATGACATTTTCTATGTGAATTTTCACATCTTTATCCATATTTTCTTTTACAATATAAAGTCAAAATAAAATTGAAACTTATTTGTAATTTTGAGAAAAGAAAATTAGAAAATATAAATTTATTTAGAATAATAAAATCAAATGAATAAGCTTGAGTTGGCATACAGTACATGGAACATTGCAAACAGAAAATTTTGATCAGAACTGGAATAGCTGGAAGGTTGAGGAATGGTCCTTAAGAGAAACAAATTTTCATTATATTGTTCTGATGAAGAATCAAATATATACTCTGGTAAGCCGTGGAAAAATGTTAATTTTAATTCATCTTAATGACTTGTAACACCTTATCTGTTTCTATCGAAAACCCAGATAGTTTCCTAACGGCATGTTACGTAAATGAGAGTTGGGTTAGTGTTGGGTCTGGACTTTACACACGCAATAAGTAATGAAAATTGTTACTAACTTGAAAAACCAAGCATAAGTACTAAACATAGAAGAATAAATAATTTTTTTGTTATTAAGCCCAAGTATGTACAATAACAAATATAATAAAAAGATTTTTTCTTTGATCGCACTTCATCACGCTAAAGAAATAATCAGACACCAAGCAGTTTTCCATTCTTTATTTATTCAATTTCAGTTAATACACATTTTGGGCTCACAGTGCTCCTCAGTTAACTTCTGTTCTGTGATTCATTGATTTCTGTACATCTCTTCTCTTCTGAATGTAGACTGCCATTTCTAGCTTTTTTAATCTTCTTTGTAAATTTGAAACCTTATCTTTTCTTTTTTTTTTATTTCTTTAGCACAATGAAGTGCAGTCAAAGAAAAAGAAAAGACAAGGTCTCAAATTTAAAAAAAGATTTTTTTATCAAATCTGAAAAACAACTATATACAAGAACTTTTCCAACATTTGGGGACTTAAAAATTAAATTGTATCTTACAATTAACTATCTCCATAAAACTGATGAGCAAAAATATGAAATCTATCAAAAATTCACAAAGAAATCTTAAATTAAATTTGTGTAACCATCACCAAGAAACTTGTAGGTTGTCAATGGAACTTAAACCTTGCTTTCAACCTCACTCAGTCCTTAGCTCCACTGCTTTCTTACAGTGCAGTTGTGCAGATTGCATGATTATGCCCACTCGACCCCATTTACGTACTTAAGTGGCTAACATTTGTTTAATTCTAGTAATCTCTTTGTCATGTCGTTTTCCTTACATTTAATTTTTTATAATTTTTTGTTGTGCCTTTTGGTGACAATTTGGGGTAGGAGATCGTTCTTTTAACTTCCCATGGAAGTTGCCCCAGAGATGCCGTTTTGTGGTTCGACAACGTAATTGGTTGCCACCAGCAGTCGTCCTAGTAAGGTGAGTTTGTTTTAGGATTTTGCCTGGTAAGATGTGGTAGTCTATCCTTAACAAAATAAAATGCTCAAAATAAATAGAACAACAAACTAAAAATAATCCCCAAACAAAATAAAATTGTTTGGAATCGATTCCTTACAGACTTTGTTTATTAGCCACTTTTTAAGCACACTTTGAAACTGAAGTTTTACTCATTTACTGTGAATAAATGTTCAGTTCCAGATTCATCTGTGATAAAATTTACAAAGCAATACAAATGTGAATTTTGCCAGAAAAAGTTTTTTACAATATTTCAATAAAATAATTATTAACAAACAGATATCATTAAAAAGCAGAATGGTCAGTTTGACTGCCACTGGTGATTCGAGGTAAATGCAATGCCGATAAAAAAAGATTGTAGCCAATATTTATATTTTAAAAATAAATTTCTAACAGGTTAAGAAAAATAACTCCCATTAAGATTAGCATAAGTGGTTAAAGTTTTATGGCGACTAGAAATTCAATACTGGTCAATTTGACTGGTATGGATCCTCCAGTGTTAAAGAGTCGGTCATGAAAACCCAAGTAATAACATTTCTCATCATCAGATCCAAACTTACTTGATAAAATGTTTGACTGATTCCTTAAAAAATTAACAACATTCTGTTTAGATGATAATCAACATAGAATTGGTTTTTACACATTTAAATGGCATAAGTTATTTTCAAGCTAACATTAAGCCAATTTACTAATTAATAATTGCCTTAATTCTATTCTAGACTTTAGATATGCTTGGCTATTAATAATTTGGTTAAGATGGCAGTGTGTATAAATTATAACATTTTTTTTAATATAAATTAGTTAGTTACTAACCAGTTTATTTAGAGTTGTCATCATTTGCATTCAGTATCATCTGTGAAGAACTAAATCCAAACCAATTAACCATAGCTATTATACAGATTAATTATATTGTTATATGGGGCAATTGAATCAAAAGTTCACTCGTGACCCGAGAGTCGTTGCCAGCCAATGGACTCGTCGTGTGCCGCCAATTTTATTTATTCAATTCCAAATGTTTTTCAAGTTTATAGTAAACTAGCTTACCCGTCGCACATTGCTGCGATCTCAGAAGAAAGGAAATTCAAGCAAACTCGTTACGATAAAATTAAATTTTCATTTTATCATTTTTATTGAAACTTATTATTATTATTATTCATTTTCATCGGGAAAACATTTCAAAGTGTCGTTTCAATTCTATTTATTTATTGGAGTGCTTGTGGATACACGATATTTTTTGTTCTTCCGTCTGGTGCGTATACAAATATGTGAGCTGGCCACGTACAGTTGTCCATGCGAGAAGCACGGATTTTCCAAATTTAACCCATACACTCGCAGCGATTGTCAGAAGTGCGATATTTCCCATTTTATATATATATTTTTTAATCCTTTATAATTTTAATTATTTAATTGCTCCTGTTGTGAAATTTCTGATAGTTGGATAATAAACCGTTTTATTGTAATTTGTCTTTTTAAATTATTTTGAGTCGATATAAAAATTTGGAAAAGGGGGGATACCTAGATCGGTAAAATACGCGAATTTCTTCCTACAACTTCGGTTGTTGTTCGGGGTACAGTTAAGGTTTTAACGAAGTTCGAGCAAATACGTAATTAGCAAAAAAAAGTTGAAATAAAGTGACTAAACAAAAATTATTACAAATATCGTAAATAACAAATGCATATATAGAGATTTTTTTTTTGAAAGGGGGGAAATGGTCTTCACAATTTGAGATCGATTGAACACACTGATCGAATGCTCGTGTAAACGCGCGCCATCTATCATAGGATAAATGTACTTTGCGGGAGTGAATTAAAAAACTTTCCAAAGTTTCATGGCAATCGTACTATGTCACAAACCTTCGCTGGAGTATATTAAACAACTTCCCAAAGTTTCACGGCAATCGGATAAATGGTGTGGTAATGCATGAAGGACATAGGACAGACACACAGACATACATTCATTTTTATATATATAGATAAATGTTTGAGATTTAAGTGTTTATTGGAATGTCTAGGAGTGGAAACATGGCCGGCTCATGGTATCGCTAAGTCTACTCCTTTGAGTGAAGCTTATTATATACAATTACAGTTATTTTATTACATCTCAGATGTTTTCTACTTTATTGGTTGTTGTCATCTTGAAACTGCCATTTCTAATCAAATTTGTTTTCACTTGTATGTTCAACATTAAAAAGGTTTATTAAATTATTTATATGTAACAATAATTCTGGGACTAGATTCGCAGGTAAATACTTCTCCACATTATAAATTCTAAGTTGTTAAGGAATGAAATAAAATTAGCTGCTGTGAGATTTATAGTAGTGTATGAATATAAAAGAGCCAAGTAATTGGATTTGTTATTCCTGATAATCAGTCTGATGGTATCTGGACGAGTAGTCCTTACAAATTTTTCCCAATTAAATTTTGAATACATTACATCAATTTGCATTATGAAGTAAGATTAAATGATACCAAGTGCTACTTGTTTAGTAGTGCAGCAAACCCTAGAACAAATTCCAACACAAGGTTTGACCATTACTTGTTGGAACTTTAACAAGATGAAGAAAAAGTTGACCAATCAATTCTCTATGCTTGTGTATGGCCATGCATAATCAAGTCAGGAAGTCCAATTTTGCTGCAACCTGGGCACATTTAAAGGATTGTTTTTTTGAATCAAGCATAAATTTTGTGCCCAATCCAGCTGCTACTCACTTGAGCAAAGCAGATCAGACTAAAAAAATTGTCATTTTACCATTGGATATAAAGGATCAATCTCTTCTCAACATGCTCGAATGTGTGTGTCCAGTTTATAGCTTCTGGCAGTTTGTTTGGCAATAATATTACAATAAGTAGCTCTCATTAATTGTAATCGTAGAGAAGAAATATGTTTCAAATAAATTGTGTGCTGTGGCACTTTGTAATACGGTTTCTATTAGAATTTTGCAATAGGAATTAACTGAAAAATTGGCTCTATTCATAATTTTCTGCTCCTCAACTAAAAAAATCAGAGTTGAAATCTGATTATCTTTTATCACTATTCCCTTTATTTCCTGCGTTCACATTTAGAATATTTTCAAGATGCAGTCAAAGTAATTCCATTCTCTCTGTTATACTGTAATATTATCATGACTTGTGCCTTAACACACACACAAAAAAACATAGAACTGAAAATATAACAATATAAATGTAATTAGTTTTGAGTAATAAATTGTTTTATACTCATATTCAGAACATTAATATAACATGCCAATTTAAAATTTACATACAGATATATTTATTTTAAATTGTTTTGTTCTAGCCACAACCAATTTATACCTGATTGAGACGATAGATTCCAAGAAGCTGGCTGAAGCTGTGGATAAATCGTGGAAAAAATTGGACAGGGGGCACAAGTTGAAAGTGATGATTCAAGTAAATACGAGCGGAGAAGAAAGTATTGTATTAATTTCCTTCATTTTTACTTTAAAATACGTTCTACTTATTTAAAATATGCATACGAATAGATAAAAATGGAGTAACTCCACAGGAAGTCACAGACTTAGTCAGTTATGTACGCCAAGAGTGCTCAAATTTAGAATTTTCCGGTCTCATGACCATAGGAGCGCTAGGTCACAACGTTGCCAATGGTCCAAATCCAGATTTCCAGATTTTAGTTCGGTGCAGAAAGGACGTCTGCACAGATTTAAAATTAGATGTTTCGGAAGTGGAATTAAGTATGGGAATGTCCAACGATTTCGAACACGCAGTAAGTTTGGCATTGAGTGTTAAAATAATCCATTTTATACACCCAAGCCGTTTCATAAATTTTTATTTTCAGATTGAACTGGGAAGTACGAACGTCAGAGTGGGAAGTGCAATATTTGGATCTCGAGACCAAACAGCGAACGACAAATGACGTCCGTATACAAATTGGACGAGGATGTCTGTTTTAGAACAAAATATTGCATGTATAAATAGTATATTTTAATAATAATGTTATTTGAGGATGTAAAATGCAGATATTTATGTTCAACATATTTATTGTAAATCAGGTTATAGGTATTTCATAATCTATATAAATAAATCTTATGTGGTATCACATTATTCATAGAGTTATCTTTTACATTAAAGCTTATATGCACAAGTATACACTCGTAAAAACAAAGAAGGCAAGAAATGCCTTAAAATTGATGAAATTCTCAGTTCCAGATTTATTCCAAAATGAATTTTTCAGTTAAAACCACTCTAGAATAAGTACTGGTGCCAACTCTATTTTACACAGCAGAGTTCGATTTGCAGTGGCAAAACCTCATTTTGTGTTTTGAGGTGATATTTCCCTTAAGACAATGTAATCAACACATGAGATGGGAACAATGTTATGCACAAAGCATGTGAAGAATTCATAGATATATCACAACACAGTCACTATCAACAAGAAATAAGTTGTAATAAAAATTTTATATAGCAAGGTGAAATTTTTATTTCAAGTTCACTTTGAATTGAAGTGGAAAGATTTTGTAATTTGTTAGATTGAGTTGTCAAACACAAAGTAAAATAATCCTTCATCTAAAGTCACAAGTTCAAAACTGCCAGTAATGAAATTCTTGATTCGAAACGTGTCATACTCTATTTGGCTTGAACCAACTCTTACAAAGAGAAAGGAAGCTCCCCACTTGACTAGTAAATCCCTCGTACCGTATATGTCCTCGATAAGGCTATACGTGGTGTTTCCAACAGTTACACTTGACGGCAGCTAGTTCAGTGAGATGCAAATAGCACTTCCATACAAGTATTGAAATGAACCGATAAGTTGAGTGGCAAGTGTAACTGTCGGAAACATCGTATATAGCCTTATCGAGAGAACGTATTCGGTACATTTGCACTATTTTACACATGATAGCTAGCAGCTTGGCTTAAAACACAATAGAGAATTTGCCCAGCAGGACAAAGCCTCTAACTACTTGCTACTGTTGGTTTTAATTTATCTGTAAACCAGACTTGTCAACCTAGAAGGAAGACAACTAGGAAAAGAAACCAACTGATACTTATCAAACAAAGTGAGATAACACTGTTGGAATTCATCAAAAAGATGTCTTTGTTTGACACGTCCCTTGGCAAAGAATGACCCAAAGACCATTGAGAATAAGTTGACCTATAATTACTCTCAAGCCTATAAAGGATCTTTCTCACTCCCCAGTCTGGATGAACAGAGACAATAGAGCCTCTAGGTTCTGTTTATACATGGTTAGCTGTAGACGTGACCCTAGTAATACCAAGGCATGTAGGTAAGGTGCAAACCAAATTAAGGTAGCAAACGTAATTTTGAGTTAACCCATCATAAAATTCAGAATAGGGTACAAGATTGAAGCTCTCAGGATTTTCCATGAGTACTTCTACATAAGAAGAAATGCCCATCTTTCTTTAGCATCATCTCAAGAAAATGGAGAGGAAATTTATACAAATACCTATGGGCATATGAAGGATAAGTTTCTCCAATGTCTTTAAAATGAAAGACATTAGACTAAGATTTAAAACCCTTGACTTTGGAATAGTACCAGTCTCAGAAATAAAGCATTATCTGGCCAGCAAGTCAGAAATACACATGGCCATGAGAGATGCCACAAGGAATAAGAACCAAAATATTGACTCAAAACTGTAGGTGGGCCAGAATAATACCATTTGGTGTAGTTGACTTAAATAGGTCAAATGATTTCTAGCCCATATTTTCAGCACTGAAAACTGCCTCCTAGCAAACTTCCAAGATTACCTATTAGATATGGACAAGGGCTTAGCAAACATCAAAAACTCGTTAGAATCGTCAATTCTGGAGCTTGGGAAGAGAACCTTTAGTAAGCAGTGGACAATTTCCCGAGCAGAAGCCGAAGGACTAACACCAGAAAGAATCGAGGAATCTGGTTTAAAATACTAAAACTAGGTGCTAAGACTTCTAGTCTTAGTGCCTGCAGGGCAAGGAGAGAATAATAATAAGTTTTGCAATATTCCAAAAATTATAACTCTTATGCTATCTGGATGGCAGAGATAATAAGGACACGACCACTCACTCGAGGAACTGAGTTCGAGTAGGATTGTAACTGCAGAAATTTCTGTAGGTGCCACCCACTTTAGAATGGGGTAAATCCTCAAAAGGGAGTCTCACGGATCAGGAAGAGCTCGTACCAGTTATTTTTTTGAAGCCCCTAATTAAACAAAACAATGTCATATAAATGCTACAAAATTAAATTACACAGCAGCTAGTGTTTTTAAATTTTGTAAATCATTTAAAATACAAAAAGTAAAGGATTTTTCTAATTCGTACTATTGTGTCTCTTGTATATTAACTCGTAACAAATGTTTTTTGGCCCCTGTAAATCTTAACGGATATGGAAAATGATCTCTCGACGTCTACTGGATGTCGAGGTATAAAAACTAGCATTACTCCTAAACCATTGACTAAAATGCAACATTTTGTATGATTATTATTAATGTTTAACATGTTTAATATATATTTTTACATTTGTCATGTACATTAATCTCAAATCAAAATATAGTAAAAAATTAAATGTAATTTGATGTTCCAATTTAATGAAATACTTTAATTTAGATTGAGATTATCTGTTGCAAACACTTTTTAAACATTATTTTGTTTTCTACCTATAAATTTAACTTTATATATGATTTTAACTGATTAAGAACTTGATTGTGAATTTTCATGCCACTGGCGAGCTTACAAAGTTTATCTTCTCTTTTGGTTAAGTTTAATGGATTATAAATATACATATGCTATTTAATAGTAGGCTTAAAAGATAAATTATATAAGAATTATTTCTTATCTTTTTCCGTCTGCTACGCACAGAATCCTTTCTGCTTTTGTGCCGTTTTCCTCGGGTCTTCTATTCTTTTTTTGCAATTCCTTCCATTTTTAGATTCATTTACCTCTTCTCCTGGTCCAAATGATCTGGGTTTTAGTACAGGTCAGATCCTTGGAAACTTTTGCAGGTGGTTGGAATCGGACGAGTCGAACCCGGACGCTCCTCTGCGAGTCAGACTGAATTGGCAATGGGCACAAAAGAAAGGCCCTCTTAGAGCCCAAGGGACAGAATTTAGAGTCCTCTCTTCTCTAGGGCTTGTCTGTCCATACTGTTTTTCTTCCAATTAGGACAACTAGACACGTTATGCTAAATACATAAAGCAAGTTATTCTGAAAACACCTCGCTGTTCCCAAATTGTATCTTTGCAGTTTCATCAGAAAAAATTCTCCCCCATTTTGTAGCCAGATTTAATTATTTCAAAGAAAGATATACACTACTATGCATATGTAGCTAGAACTATTTCTAAGATTATCAGCACAAAAACCTTTCTCACTAATTTCTAGCCTTATTAACTGGAGTACAAACGTTTTCGGCCTTCTTAATAGGCCTTCCTTGGGTACACAGTGGAGCGTCGGTTAGAAGAAGTTTAAATGCTGCCAATGTTTACCCAGGTATCATCTTACCAGTGACATCATCGTCGATGATAGGTATATGATACCGAGGGCGAAAAATACATAGCATGTATTTTTCGCCCTCGGTATCATTGGCAGCATTTAAACTTCTTCTAACCGACGCTCCACAGTGTACCCGAGGAAGGCCTATTAAGAAGGCCGAAAACGTTCGTACTCCAGTTAATAAGGCTAGAAATTAGTGAGAAAGGTTTTTGTGCTGATAATGAAAGATATACTTTTGAAACTTCTGTTTAATAAGCTAATATAAAATTTTTTGTATTGATTGTTAAACTTTCTGTTAAAGTTTGATAATTTTTTTTTCTTTCTAATTTGCTGTTACCATAAAAGAGCACCAATACATTTCAGCTAGACTTTGTACTCAAAAATGATCTTATTATGAGATGCAAACTCAGAGTGGGAAGTTGCCATTCTAGGACCAGTAAAATGTCTAAAAAAATTCTACAGACCACTAAAGTTATGCAGGCATTACAAACATTTGGGGTGTACTATGCCATTTAATGCATAATAAATCTAAAAGCATGTTTTGAATACATACAAAAACAAGTAATTAAATTGGAAGTGAACTATTAAAAGCGAGTAGTCATTAAACAAAATTTTAATCCTAGTCTGTCCGTCCCGTCGTTGCCAACCACAGGTCAAGAAATGCTGGTATAAGACATTGGCAATAAGAGAGCAATTGATGGATCTTTTCCAATACAATGGCCTGCTCATTTGCCCGTTCTTGCACTGTGTGACTTTCAGTTACAAAGCTATTTGAAAAATGGGGTTTATGTGATTTGTTAGAACTAAAAAGACAAATTGAAAGGGGAGAGCGAGTCCCGATATGTTGCACTTGGTCGTTACTAATGATATAATTCAATTGAAATACGTGAGCAAGAGTGGCAGAAAGTTTGGAACAATTTGTTTGATGCTGCCATGGCAGTAGCACCATTACAGATTCCTAGCACCAAAAATTGTACTATTTCTGAGACTCTGTCTCTAGTTTTTCTGTGTCAAGATAAATGCACATAGAAATAGATCGATAAAATTTTGTAACAGCTTTGTCTGCAGAGTGATCTAAAGTAGTATACTTTAGACTGGTTGTTCCTAAAGTGAGTGCTGCTGTGAGTGAGAGTAAATCTAGGAATATTAAATGAAGCAAGGGGAATATTGATGGAAGCAGAATACTGAATGGTGACCATAGGCAAAGGTTGGAGTCACTAACAACCCTCCCATTTCATCTGTTAAAAGGGTAAGACAAAACATTGTGTTTAATGGTTTCCAGATGTGGAGAACAATGTACATTAAAGACACAAAACGTGAGGTTTGTAGAAAAATTTTTCTAACAAGTAAGACTATTTCCAAGCCTTTCTCACATAAGAGGAAAATGTGTTAAAAGGTGTTAGGCATAAGTTTATTGAACCAAGGGGTGCTGGCTCAAAAAAGTTTGGGAATCACCGCTTTAGACCACTCAAAGAAAAAACTTTAAAAACATTTTAAAGTTCAACATAGGACAGCTCAAGAGTCAGTTCCGTTATGCACAGATTTGTGAGCATCACTGGTAAATGGAGTTTTGCTTTTGCAAAATATTACAGCTGTTACCATTACAATGTTAAACTGACTTTTGGGTCAACCTGCATATTATAATAATTAATAAAATTAACATTAGAGTTATTCAAAATATCTTTATTTTAAAAATCTTAAATATTCTTTACAACAAATTATTCTAATGATAAAAATTATTTTCTAGTAGCAATAATTAATAATTGCATTTCTATTGTTTTACATGATTTTTTCCAGTACTGAGACCAGTTTAATTATACAATTATCAAGTTTATCGTGCCAATTTTTTAATTAATTAATTTAAGTACTTTTGGATTACAGAAGAAACACACATTATGTCTAAGATAACACAACTTTTTAAATTATTATAGCTCTTTGGAAGATTAAATGAGTACAGATGTAAAGCTTGGTTAAGGGTTTGAAATCCTTTTGTAATGACTTCTACATAATTTCACTTGACATCTCGACAAATATCGGTCGTACGTACAGACGTACCATTTTCTTTAGTTAAAAAATATTAGCAAAATTACCACTATTCTACAAGAACGGTGGTCATTTCGTGAACTTTTGTGATGCTTAGTCTCGAGTTCTTCGTGTAGCGGCACGAACGTGTCTGAAGTTCCGCATAATACGAACTTGCAGAGTGAGACTTCGACTGTAAGACGGCCTCGACGTGTACGTGGCCAGACGTTCTGCAGAACTTGAGACAGAGTCTGGGCGGGAAGCTTTGGAAATTTTTTACAGGCGGTCTGTCCTGGATAAGTCGAGCCGCATTCTTTGGCATCGGCTTTGTGGGTCTGGCCAAATCTATAATGGATATGATTAAGAAGACCTTTTTGGTGCCCTTGAGGTGGAAAGAGTATTTAAAAAAACAACCTCAACATGTTTGTGTTGTTACGAGGACAATGTGATCTGTCGTGTTCAAGCTATTATACAAGTAATGCAAAACTAAGTACCCAAGACGTGTAATTTTCCAAATTTTATTCTAGTCTGGGCATAATTCTCCATTGTCGCTCAAAAGGGACAATGGACCGTTGGTTAGGATTTTCCATAATGGTCAAAACAAAAGCTGGCAACATGCAGAAGTTTAACGTTGCATGAGTCAAATTACTAGAATGTCTGTTGTGATATAATTTGTAAAACAAATTAAGAATGCAAGATGGAAAATTTTGGAAAAACTTTTGTTATCACTTCTTTTCGAGTAATTACCAAATGCAAACAATTCCTTCAAATGAGATTGCTTCGCAATCTCTTTTAAAAGAATGAGATCTTGATAATTATCTAAGTTTATTACGGCGCACTACAAACTTCGGTCAAAGTAAAATGCCTCGCAGTCCATTTATTATTAAAAGATTACACTTGGAGTAATCGTTACACACAAAAATCCGTTATGGGATCATCTCTGAATTTGACTACATTTAAAAAGTAACAGAAATTTGTACATAATTAACAACACAAAATGAAACTCAACTAGTTCTTGAATAATTTTCTGTAGGGCACAATAAAATTAGCTCTGTTTAATTTAAAATAAACAAAGTAAATTCCATAAACAATACATCGACAGACTTATAACCAAAGAAATCTGGAATTTACCTTTCCTGCAATAAAAATTTCTTCAACTATTGCTTAACAAGAAACAGTAACTTATTGCAATGCAAACTCTTGTATTTTAAGCTTAGAAAAACTGCATTTTGCCTCAGATACACACAAATACACACTTTTTATTTGGTCTCGAATCTGCACTAGCTCGTGATATAAATTTATACAGTGTAAATCTTGTAAAATCTAAATGACTACTGATATTGTTACAAAGATTTTCATTAGTCTTTTGTGATTAGCTTACCCAATTTATTTTATATCGAGTGCAAACTTTTAGTCTTGGTTCAAACTGTTGTTTATTGAAATTGTAATCAAGTTTATGACTTGATTAATACAAAAAATATCATTTTGAAGTTGATTTTACAACTTAGTTTGAATGATTGAAAGTTTACTTTAAAAATTTCACACACTTCTGATTATACTTTGATTTTAAAAAATGAGTATAACAAGACAGTTTAATTTGCGCATTTAATTCTACTCCTGACCAATGCATACCATTAATACTATAAAAATAGACACGCAAGTCTCAAATAATTATGATATAACCAAAATAAAATCAATTTTAAAACGAAAATTAGTGTTTTTCCAATCAATTTGGCCATCTAAATAAGCAGTCTAATTCCAGTTCTCTACAGAAATTGCCATCACTTCAATTAAAACTCAAAAATTATAAGAAAATTGCACATTGTTAGAGCAAACTTTTAAAGATTTCACTATAGCAGAGCATAATTTTCTACTTTATACCTTTATGATTGACAGAATGTCCAAATATTTTTAATAAAAATAAATATATAAATCAGCAAAATGTCAGTCTGTTTGATAAATAGTCTGTTCTGATTTTAGACAAAGAGCAACGAAATTTGATGTCGGAAAATGACTTTCGGCAGAAGGAAAAAAAACAAAAAACACATTTATTTATCTCCAACTAAACTGTTATTTACATTTAATTACAATTAAAAGTTTAAACATTTCCAACTGCATTTCTATTATCGGATTTAATTAAACTAGAATAGGCACATCAGAAAATAAATTATGTACAGTTTCGTTTCATCAAATCAAAATCTCAGTGTCGGACAGACTCAAGTTTTCATTTTATTTCCTCGCGTCTAAAGATTCCTTTAATGCAAAAACTAATGCGGATTCCCATTTTCTACTTATATTTGTCGGGTGGTACGTTGCGGAAATCGGCAACGTCCTCGTTATAAATCTAAGGTATCGAATTACGATATTAAAAGTTTTCTACAAATGACAGAGAGAAATATTATATATATACCTTTTATATATATAACCGCATGAATATCTTCCAAAGAGCAATAAAATATGCTCCTGTACATGAAATTTCTCTCAAACTTGGCACAATATCTGATAAGGAAACAAATGGCATCATTCTTATAGAACATATCTGTATATTTCTATAGTTTCATTCATTAAAAGTTTAAATAAATATACAATATTTATTTCTAATTTATAATAATTACAATGTATTTTTCTTACTTTTCTTTTTTTTTTATCACAAAAATTTTACAAAACACAGAGACGGACAGCTGCCTTACAATAAAATGAACTAGCGGTAGAAATGAGCAATTGTTTTTTTTATACCGTGAATAAACTGGTAAAAACACTTAATAATGAAAAATGTGTGAAATTAATTCCTGTCAACAAAACGCACTTAAGAAAATGCTGATTTTGGCTAAGGAAACAAGCACACGAGGATGCGTAAAGTTGGTCCGTAAAACAGTTCATCGAGTATTTAAATGGTGTCATGACCTGTTGGCTGGTTCATTCAAGACTGAAATTTCAATCTGAAGGTTAGTTAAAGAATTGTGTGTACTGTAATTCTAAATTTTTATTATACAAAGTGAACAGCAAACTAATTTACAGGTTCAAAGAACTCATTTGACCTCAAAATTAATGAAGTACATTGGTTAGAACACAAAACTCACTCAAAAATAAAGAATAAACTTAAGTTTTATAATAATATCCTCAAATTTATATATAAAAGACAACTTAGAACATGTAGCCATAACTACAGACTGTCGTCTCTCGGATTTCTGCCGATAGCTGTAAATAAGTATCAATAGATTATGAGTAAGAATTTGTGATGCGATCAAGAAACTGGCTTCAAATACTGAAAAAGTTCTGAATTTTCTAGCTATGGATAATACAGAACATTGCAAATGATATAGGAGTGTGACATATCTTTATACATTGAAGATTTGACCCATCTTAATGATGGAAGTGAGAACTACTGTACTACCACCAAAAATATAGACGAACAATAGCATAGAATTATCATCATCATTTACATTTGCTACTAGCTGCAAGGACCCGCTTTGCTGGGCAAAAAGTAACGATAGTGAAGATTAAGATAATTACATTATAGCCAATCTTACCCGTTTTCACAGAATGCAAGAATTAGGTCCCCCATTTCCAGACTAATTAGAGAATTTTTATGAGTCTAAAAATATGTTCGATTTCCCGCAAAAAACCACCTGTAAATCTTGCATGCCGCTTTATATTAACACTTCCTTTGTTACTCAACACTTCCATTGTTAACACTTCTATTGTTGACACTTCCATTGTTACACATCTTTAAAGTCAACCATTTTCAACCCCATATCTCTCACACTTTTATAGCACAGAATGCAAGAATTAGGTCCCCCGTTTCCAGACTAATTAGAGAATTTTTACGTCCAGTCAAACGAACTATTTTCAATTCAATCAATTTTCTGGAACGTTTACAATCGTTCTATAATCAAACCAATTCGAATTTGAATACAAATTTGAATTTAAAACAGTTCAAACATTTTAAAAATCGAAATAGAAAATAAATTCACTATTTATCACACCGGAACTACTAAAAAATTTTACACACCTGAACCATTTACGGTGTGATCACGCAAAAAATCGGTAAACAAACGTTTTCGAACCCCTTCTGGTTTCTGCTTCAGGTTCCAATCAGTTCCTATAAAGACGTTCGATATCCGAAATAGAAAATCTTCGAAGTCAACCACTTTAAGCCCGCACCCTTATAGCTATCGAGACGCAACCACCATAGTGCACAAATAGAGACTTGGGGCTACTACCACATATAAACACCATTCGTGTGCGATGTGTAGTTTTGGCTGAAAAGTGAAATATATGGACACACACGTCCATTTATATATATATATGGGTTGTGCAAATGAAAAGTGGACATTTATTAAGAATTGGTAAACATTTATTGTGATTATAAAAGAAATCTCCATGTTTGTTTAGGCAAAGATCCCAGCATCTCACAAGCAGACCAATGCTCCACACACAGAATTCTGGTGGCTGCTGGTAAAAAAACTCTTTGACCCTTTCCTTCACTTCGTCATATGACATGAATCTTTGCCTTCACAAAGCTTTCTCGAGAAATCTGAAACGTGAAATTGTCATGGCAATGGGTCAGGACTATATGTAAGTTGCAACTCCTCCTGACTATGTCATCCACAGCAGCAATTACAGCATGTCTGACCTGGTTTCAGTTTATCCTGAATTGACTTGTAGTCTTCTCTGTAACTTTTGTACTAATTACTCACTGCTGTTCACCCTAAACAATATTCATCATAAACGTGCCTCATTTGTCCATAGATGTCGGCACTGCTATTTTCTTCGGCCACTAAAAACAGAACTTCTGCCCCACTGTTCGATTCCGTATACTTCCGTTGCAACTAACTTAACATTAATCTGCCAATCACTGGAGATAACATCTATTCCTTCCAATACTTAATGCAGTCTGTGCTTCACCTGTGTTGAGCTTACCCACTTGTAAGGTAATCTGCTAATTGTTAATTTGCACGATGAAATATGACACGTGTCCACTTTTCAATTGGGCAATCCTTATATTTTGCAAATTAATCATCAAAAACTAATTATTTTAAATTTAATATATTTAAATTATTTAAATAAATATGACTATCATATACATGGGGGACCCAAAAATAACCAGATTTTTTTGTATAAAAACTTTATTTACTAACTTTTCTACAAAATTTCTTCAGTCACCTTCAAAGTACTCTCCATTAGATGCGATGCACTTGCAAAGTCTTTTTCCCCACTGTTTGAAGCATCTCTGGAACTCTTCAACCTTGATATCATCCAGTGCCCTTAGTGAAGCTGTTTTTACCACCTCAACATCATCAAAATGCTTCCCTTTTAGATTTTTCTTCATTCTCGGAAACAGAAAAAAGTTGCAGAGGACTAGGTCTGGTGAATACGGAGGGTGGGGAACAACAGGCCATCCCCGAGAGGCCAAATAGCGAGTCACTCGTAAGGCCGTGTGTGTGGGGGCGTTGTCGTGATAAAGGAACCAGCCACCTGATCGCCAAAGTTCAGGGTGTTTCCTTTGCATATCCTCTCGCAGACGTCTTAACACTTTTTTGGCAGATTTTTTCGATGTTTCGAGAAGTTGAAGGACTCCCAAAACTTCGCAGGTGGAACAAAGTAACAGTAAGAGAAACACAACACTACGCTCAAATGTAAACATACAAACCGACACCGGTTTGTAGGATTACATTTCAGCTGTTTCGTGAAAGTCTCTACTAACCCCATGTAATGGGAGAACTCTCTACTACGTCTATGAATGGCAGCGTGTTCTCATTTTGGTTTTTTTTGGATCCTCCCTTGTAGAATAGAGGTGGAAACCTTCTGTAATTAGATGACTAAGTACCATCTCAGAGGGACCTCTTATGGATGCATGTTGTATAATTTTAAATATATAAATTCAGTATATATGCACCAAAAATTTATATAAATTGCATTTAAATGGCTGTATTTACCAAGAAAAGACAGGAAACATATTTTTTAACTCAAAATTCAACAGAAAATTAAACTTTCATCATTTATGAGAGTAATTCAATAATGCAAATTGCCTGGATATGTAATAAGATTGGACAGAACTTCATGAAACTAACATTGTGTGTAGAGACATGTATAGGGCAGGTTCTGAAAGTGTACAACGGATAGCAGGAAGAAGCATAACTAATGACAGTGAAAAAATCTGGCCACCCACTAAAAAATCAGATCAGAGAAGAGCAGCATTCTGTCATTAGATTTTTGCAGTCAGAAGGACTGAAACCATGGGAGATTCATAGAAGAATGATTCAGCAACTTGGTGCAAGTTATCTGAATAAAAACAAAGTGTACCCGTGGGTACACAGATTCAAGAAGATTGAAATCGGTTGTTGATGAACGTGGCTGGGATTACCTTCCATAGTCATCGTGGTGCCAATATTGCTTGCATTTATTTTTGAGAATGGGAAGATTTCTGTAGATTCTGTTCCCACTAAATTGAATATAAGCTGCAAATGGTGCCATCCATGACACTGTCAATTATACTCAAAGTGGGTGCTGAGACGGTTGACTGACGAGCCCAGGTCGAACCATCTGCTGAGTTGCATACCTTTTTTGACACATTACTATGTTAAAGTAGAGTTTCTTGCATGCATTATCACAGGAGATGAAATCTGAATTCATTATTATGAACCAAAATCCAAAAAATAGTTCATGGAATGGTGACACGTTCTCTCCTGCAAAGAAAAAGTTTAAGTTGGCACTTCTGCCAGTAAACCTATGCTTACATTGTTCTAGGATATGAATAAACATATTCTTGAACACTATCAGAAGACAGAAGAGACAATCAACAATGTAAGATACAGCACCAGGCTGGACGAATAACTAAAGTTTGCAATTCTCAGTCGTCCTTGCCAACTTCTCCATGACAAAGCATGATGTAACAGTTACTAGCATCCAGAACTTGAAATTAAATTCCCTAAATCATTCCTCCTACGGTTCAACTTCATTTAATCTATTACATGTTTGGCAATCTTAAGGGAGCATTACGAGAACAAAGATTTCACAGTGGCAACAAGTTGAAGAAGGCGGAAAATTTGTGGCTTCAACAAAATCAAAACCTTGTTGAAAGATTTGAAAAGTGAATTGCAAAAGCTAGCGACTACATCAAAAAAGACATCTTACATAGATCTGTACATTTGATGAACATCTCAAGAAAATGCAAATTTGCCCTTATTTATTAAATTACCGTCATATATCGTTATTAATTTAAGCTGCATCGGAATCCACAAAAAGTCAAAAATTTCCCACCTCTGATTTAGAATATTCCATATACAACCGACTTGATAAGTAATTTATTTTTAATTATTAAACTTAATATGAGACAATGGCTTAGATGCCTATCTCTTGCTAAATTATTTAATTCCTTAAGAAATAATTAGTCTTAAAGTAGCCCATTAAAGAATCCAACTGTTCATTTGATATTTAGAACATTTCAAATGAATGTTGTTCTTCCACAAACTATCTAATGCAACGTATATAATGCTCGGCTCTAAACAGTATGCCACAATGCCTCGAAACGGGCATTGTGTGACATACTGCTTCAGCACTATTCTTGTTATAGAAAATAACATTGAATAAAATTATTTTGAGAACATTTTGTGTATCGACAATCTTGTTATAAATTTTTTTCCACTTTATATTTTGAAATATAGTTTGAGTACAAAAGCCAAAGTGTACGGACATAACCAAACTCTGTACCAATATTTTAGGGATAGATTCTAGGGACAAGAGTAAGTCTAAAGTCCTCTATAAATGTTTTTTTAAATCTGCTCTGCTTCCAAGACATGATCTGCAAAAAAATGCTTTTCAAATTCCCTACCAAAGTACTAATGCTAGAGTTCTCAACTTTTTAAAGTAATTTTTAACTTTTTTATACTTCTGTCGACCGACTGAGGTAAGTGAATGTTTGTCCTTTAGGATTGACTGAGGTTACTTACCTCAATACTTACTCACTGCCCAATAGGCCCTTTATAATAAATATAAAGAAATTCTTATCCACTAAGATTTTGCAATATCCACCTGCTTTAAAGTAAAAATAAAAATAATACTTAAAGAAAATTCTTCAATGTAAATTTATTTTGACTATCATTTCATTTTTACAAAATTAAACAGAATAATTTACAAAACTGCTCAAAATGACATCTGGGGGTGTAGATTTGGATTTTTGCTTCTTATAAAACCAATCAAAGCTCAGTACTTGTACGAAAACAAGTCCATTTTCCACGAATTCAAAAACTGTTTTAAACATTTAAAATAAAGCTTTAGTACATACGTGCCAGTAGCAAAAGTGCAGAAGTGGAAAACAAATGGCAGTATCCTTTTTATAAGATATTTAAAATTGGTTTCAGATACAAAATTTTTGCTGGCCACATCATAAATGAAGAGGATTTTAGGCTTATTTTGGACCCTAGAATCTATTATCAAGTTCAGTTATACGTTATATTTACTTTCATTTTAAATAAGTATAACATTTAATTATTAACTCCTTGTTGTTACAATAATAGGAATTAGGATGGTACAAATTCTGAATGTCCAAACTAATTTTTTCAAATACAAAACCAGAATTGCTTGATTTTTTCCAGGTATTATAAGATTATGAATTACCTCTACTCCAAATTTTATTAAGAATTTAATATAGCTTTATAACAGTTAGCAAAATTTAATTATGTAATTGACATATCAATTTCGGATGCTATTGCCTTGTAAATTTGGTATTTTTTTTTCCTACAATTTTAATACTCAAAATAAATATTTTGAAATATAACAGATGATAAATGAAATTTTCAAAATAATTTAGTTTTATTATTATTATTATGAATAATTGTCATCAATAAAGGATACTACTCTAAGTCCTCTTTCGACAGGATCTGTGAGATAAAGACCTCTCGGAAGCCAGACGGTTTCGTTCTGTTCATCTACAAATGCCGCTATCCTTTTCAAACACTAAGTTTAAATAAATACATTTTGAAATGAATACAAATTGACTTTTTTTTTATAAAAGCAATTAGATTTATCAAATAATTTATATAAAAGACTGATTTTATCTGTAGATTACAGACAAAATTTGATTATAAATTAATTAAAAATTTAATATAGCAGATAATACATATTTAAAGTGAGAAGCATTAAGACAAACCAATAAAAGAGCATGCCTCTTAATAAGATTATGGTGTAAGTATAGTATAGTAAGTATCACACATTTGTTAATTGAATCAACAAGTGCAAAGAAATTTTGACAGTACAGGTATACCTCGCCTTACGTCGGTAATTGGTTCCAGGAAAACGACTTAAGTCGAAAAACGACGTAAGTCGAGGTATACCTGTAGAATAAAAAATCAAATTTCCATCTACAGCAAAAATAAGAAAATTATTTATTTCTTTCTTTCCCAATTTTACACCTCAATAAAACTTTATTTTATCATTAATGGAATAAAAAATAAACTAAATAGGAAAGGTTGGCAATTACTAATGCCACTTTTTAATAAAATTTACGTCATTTTAAAGAGTTCTCCTCCCTGATAAATGTACTGAAAGTTTTTATGGGAACAAAAAATTTTATAGGAAAAAGCCTTTTGGTATGTTTATCAGGAGACAATCTCTATAAAATGATACACATTCCATTAAAAAAGTAGCATTGGTAATTCCAACTGTTCATCAAAAAAAAACAAAAAAAAAAACAAAAACACTTTCTTGAAGTGTAAAATTTGAAAATTCTAAATTGTAAACTCCAAATAAAGTATATTTTTCTTAATGTATACTTAATGTATACTTAATGTATGTACTCTGGTATTAAGGAGTTCTGACAGTTGTCATGGAATCAAACTTAAAATTTCAGGATATTTCTGATTGTTATATTCCACTTTGCGATACATGGCATTACCATTCACTCACAGACTTTCTGAAAGACTTCTCTGCCAATTGCATAATCTCCTATGGAATCTGGCCCACTAGTTCACCATATCTCAATCCCCAGATTTTAGAGCCTCCAAGGGATGTTTCCAGCATTTGCCATAGGAGAAATGGCAACATAAAAGTTCACTTAAACCATTTCCACTGCACTGTAACTTTTCGGATGTCCTGTATTTTAAAATTTATGCAGAGGACAATAATAAACTATTAGGTTGTTCAGAAAGTAAGTTCGTTTTTTTACCACTAGACAGATTAGTCGTACTTTTCCCACCATTTTCATTCTAAACCGTATTATCATTATATATTTTGACAGCTAGCATTTTAAGGCTTATTCGTAAAAAATTTTGTTTGATTTTGTGCAATTGTTTATTTTTTGTGTCTCATCAAATATGGAAGATCGGAAGCAGCATTTTTGGCATATTTTGCTTTTTTATTACCGAAACAACAAGAATTCCGTTCAAGCAAGAAAAAAATTGTGTGACATGTATGGAGAAGATGAATTGACAGAACGACAGTGCCAAAAGTGGTTTACAAAATTTTGTTCTGGCAATTTCAATATTGAAGATGCACCACCAGTTGAATGGTTGGCCAGTTGAAGCCAATGAAAACAAAATAAAGGTACTGATTGAAGCAAACTGCCAAATAACAACACGTGAAATCACTAAGAGATTAAATTTGTCAAATTGAACTGTTTATGATTATTTGAAACAAATTGGTTTCATTTCAAAGCTCGATATATGGGTTCCACGTGTTCTTAAAGAGAGATGCTCTCTTTGGTGGGATTTTAAGGAAATTTTTTTTTTGAGCTTTTACCAGACAGTTTAACAATTGATTCGAAAGTGTACTGCCGTCAAGTAAACAAATTGAGTAATATCGTCAAACAGAAAAGGCGGCCAGAATTGATCGACAAAACAGGTGTAGTGTTTTATCACGATAATGTCAAATTTCACAGAAGTTTGGTAACTCATCAGAAACTGTTATAACTTAGATGGGATGTGCTATCACACCAACTGTATTCGCCAGATCGAGCACACTCAGATTATTACTTGTTCCGGTCTACACAATTTTTTTTTAACTGTAAGACATTTTCTTGAAATGACAATGTCAAAAATCAGTTTTTTGTAAGCAACGATCAAAACTTTTATGAATGTGAAATCATGCTACTATCAGAAATGATGGCAACAGGTATTTGACCAAAATGGTTTATATATAAATCAATAAAATATTTATTTATTATAAAAATATTGTATTTTTTTCCATGGAAAAATAATGAACTTACTTTCCGAACAACCCAATACATCCATAAAGAAAAATCTTTTCTTCTATATAATCTTATTAACTTTCTTCACAAAAAACAGCAAATAATTATTTTTTTTTCAGAACATAAAAGACCTGATGATAATGATTTAAATAATCCACCATGTACACAAATTCACTTTACTATAGGTGAAAAACTTTTAAATTTTAAATAATTGACTAGTTACCAGATGTCAGCACAATGCATAAATTTGAAATTTTTAAGGGTTAAATGCATTAATATAAATTAACATTATAGACATTGTATGCATACCTGTATACAGTGACAGATCTACATAGGGACTAATAGGGCTTAAGCTCTAGGCCTCCAAGTGTCAAAGGCCACAAAAATTGAATAATTATAAATTTTTAATACTTTTTCATTAATAATGAGCACTTATCATATAGTAATAATAGTTAACATAATGATAATTTATAGTATTATTTTAAACACCAATTTAAAGATTTTTAATCTAACAAAAAATGGAGCTCCATTAGACTTCAATAAGCCCTAGGCTCAGAAAAACCTAAATCCACCTCTGCCTGTACACACCTTGTAATTATAAATATATGAAAGTTTTCCCAACTTAATTTACAGTAACACAATCTTATCAACAGCTGTTTAGCAAAAAGCAACAGTGGAACTAAGACATTGATGTAAATGCATCTGTACTTTTACCATAAAATGACGTTTTTTTAATAGATTATGATGCTTGTATTTTTCTACATATTACATTTCCTTTATACCATATTTAACATATAATACCGTATTTCATACACAATACCTCTAGATCTATCTCTTACGGTTTGGGAGAGACAAACAGTTTAACATCTGCATTTTATCAAAATGCATACAAGGTCTGTTCAAAAAGTATCGGACCTTCTTTTTCTCCGCGTAAACCAATGATGCGCGAGAGGCCTCCTTCAGTGGAGTTGTAGAGGGGACAGTCATGCACAGCCCTGAATTTTTTCCCGCCTGCAGGAAGCGTTAATCGTTGGCAATCGACCTATGAGTGAGGTCATGTAGTGCGCTCTCGTCGGATTCCACTAAGCTGGAAAATGACTGAACAACGTGAGCAGCAATATTACATCAAATTTTGCCAAAAACCTTGGCGATACCCGAGTGTAAACCATTCGCAAGATTCAGCAGGCTTTCGGGGACGATCCTCGAGGCCAAAAAAGCGCGGCAGGTCCACAGCAATATCAATGTTGACAGTTGACAGTTTTTTCGACTCTCGTGGGGTGGTGTGTCGTGAATACGCACCACAAGGCCAAACTATCGCAAAGGAGTACTACCAGGAGGTCCTTTGTCGTCTTTCCGATGCTGTGCGACGCAAACGACCAGATCTGTGGTCGATCAAAACTTGGCAGCTCCATCATGATAACGCGTCCGCCCATTCTGTGCACCTGATTCGGGCTTTCGTCGCCAAACATAACACTTCTGTGGTTCATCACGCTCCGTACTCTCCCGACATGGCTCTGTGTGACTTTTGGCTATTTCCCAAGCTGAAAATGCCGCTAAAAGGAACCCGAATTTAGTCGAGAGAAGACATCGTGCAAAATCCGACGGACCGGCTGATGGCCATTCCAAAAGATGCGTTCCAGCAGTGTTTCCAGTGTATACATTACCAAGCAGTGTATACATTACCAAGGAGACTACTTTGAAGGGGATTAGGGTTTTGTACCTCAAAGTCAATAAATTTATTTTTGCCGACCAAAGGTCCGATACTTTTTGAACAGACCTTGTATAACCTATTATTATAAAGAAAACATTTGAACAACTAAGTTACATCAATAGGAATAAAATAAATTACAAATTTGGAAGTTTATAAAATGTCTTTTATTTTACATATAGGATTTGGGTTTATTACTCTACCACTTACGGGTCCTGTGTTATTGAGCATCAAAATGGAGTTATGTTTGTTTTGCAACACAACTCTGTGGTTCCATTTGTCGAATCGATTACTCACATACTAAGGGATTACTATAATGAATTATCTTAATTCCACTCTGTGGTCACCAGGAGATTCACGTTTCACATCTGTCACAATTTGTTAGGGTCTACAATACAAATGGCCAAGTGGAGTGGGACAAGGCTCAACACATTTGGCTCAGATTCAAATCTTCATTTGGCAATCTGACCTAGACTGAAATTCAGATACTCTGGAACAACAGGCCAATAACTTTACCACTTCAGATTTACCTTTATTAGATATGTTAGCAACTAATTTGATCATTTAATTTTTTTTGGGCAGTATGTTATAAGAATCTTTATTGTGTATAAGCAATTAATAAAATTAAATATTCATACTTTCTCGTAATGTGTCTCCATGCAAAGATATATTAAATACGCAGTTAAACAAGCCATACATCCTTCGCAATATGTTCTACCGCTGATTTTTTCGGCTTCGGCATAGATATTATTCAGCGTGTTGATAGTGAGTTCAAAAGACTGCCTGTCAATCTGTAAAGAATTTATTGATTTAAAAAGATTTTAAACTAAAGAAGTTCAATGATACAAAAAATTATTTGTTAATAGATATAATAAATCAATTTTTTATTAGTATATGAACAAACAATTATTGAATTTTTTTACTAAGTTATAAAATAGGATGATCCAAAAATTAGTTAACTGTCTTTTTTGTTTTGTTTTCTCCCAGTATATAAATCATAAATTGAGTTTAAAACATGACTTTTGTACATAAAATTTGGTGGAAGCATGATCAGAGGTATAAGTGAATTAATTGCATTTTTCAGTTAGTTAAATACAATTTAATCTGTACAACAGTTAACTGATTTTGGGACAGTGTGTTTTGGGACAATACACACTGTCCCTGCACATCAACTAAAAATATAGCTTAACACAATAAATTTTTAATACCACACCATAATTATTTGTTAATTACTATTAACAAACACATTAAAAAAAATTAATACATCAACAAAGCTGTACAAAATAAAACTGATACTAGGGATAAATCCTTATTTAAATTTCTAATAAAAATATTAATTAGCTATTGGATATTTGCCAATACATGATTAAACATCTACTTCTCCATATCGGTGCATATGTAATAACTTATATACAATTATCCAGCTAGATTGAGGGAAAAAGTAGTCCAGATTTCTAGACATGGTAAATATATATTTAAAATATAAAATAAGCAACAAAAACTGTATTTCACAAATACAAATTAAAACATTTCTAAAACAGGGCCTATTTGATTATTATTATACTCCACATCAACCAAGTTGATAGCAACATCAATATTGCCTGAAACCACAGTATGTATTTCCACATTCAACAGTGTGTCATTGGTACACAAAGGAATTTTTTAAAATGATTTATCCACTCTCTCTCGTGACTTAAGTTTTTATTACTGTGTACTTGTTTTTAGTTTTCATATGTCAATAGTTTTAAAACAAATGAAGTATTATAGTGTTATTTATTGTAAATAATTCAATAATGTAAGGACTCTTGTAAATAAATTCTATGACAACACTACATTGTGTGTAAGCGTATTAATGTTCTTCAGTAATTCACTTGTTGTGTTGTCTGTTTTTACTTACACGTCACTATCAACTTGGTTGAGATGGAGTATAATCCTCTTAAAATATAGAATACCATGTGTAGTGTAATATTTAGGATTAAAATTAATTAAACAAAGAAAAGTAAAGAACATAATGGAATTGATATCGTGTGATGCATACGCCTCAGAAATGAAAACAAAATGGCAGTATGGCAAACTACAATCATGCTACAGCCTGCCAAATTCAAAACTGGCCAGTTTTCTGGAAGCCAGATAATTGATCCATTACTGTATTGCAATATTACATAGAGTTGCAATTTCTAAATTAATTATATGATTTTTAAAAAGTAATTTTAGATTATTACCAATCCTTCCAATTCCTGAGGGAATTTCGTTTGGAATTTTACATTTGTTCCTTCGGAATAGTCTCTTTGAATAAATACCTTTCGGCAACCTGTAGAAGGTCGTGTTCCGTCGTTCACTGCATGATTCTGTAAATGAAAGTTTTTAATTAATTATATTTTACGTGTATACATTACCAAGGAGACTACTTTGAAGGGGATTAGGGTTTTGTACCTCAAAGTCAATAAATTTATTTTTGCCGACCANCCAGCAGTGTTTCCAGTGTATACATTACCAAGCAGTGTATACATTACCAAGGAGACTACTTTGAAGGGGATTAGGGTTTTGTACCTCAAAGTCAATAAATTTATTTTTGCCGACCAAAGGTCCGATACTTTTTGAACAGACCTTGTATAACCTATTATTATAAAGAAAACATTTGAACAACTAAGTTACATCAATAGGAATAAAATAAATTACAAATTTGGAAGTTTATAAAATGTCTTTTATTTTACATATAGGATTTGGGTTTATTACTCTACCACTTATGGGTCCTGTGTTATTGAGCATCAAAATGGAGTTATGTTTGTTTTGCAACACAACTCTGTGGTTCCATTTGTCGAATCGATTACTCACATACTAAGGGATTACTATAATGAATTATCTTAATTCCACTCTGTGGTCACCAGGAGATTCACGTTTCACATCTGTCACAATTTGTTAGGGTCTACAATACAAATGGCCAAGTGGAGTGGGACAAGGCTCAACACATTTGGCTCAGATTCAAATCTTCATTTGGCAATCTGACCTAGACTGAAATTCAGATACTCTGGAACAACAGGCCAATAACTTTACCACTTCAGATTTACCTTTATTAGATATGTTAGCAACTAATTTGATCATTTAATTTTTTTTGGGCAGTATGTTATAAGAATCTTTATTGTGTATAAGCAATTAATAAAATTAAATATTCATACTTTCTCGTAATGTGTCTCCATGCAAAGATATATTAAATACGCAGTTAAACAAGCCATACATCCTTCGCAATATGTTCTACCGCTGATTTTTTCGGCTTCGGCATAGATATTATTCAGCGTGTTGATAGTGAGTTCAAAAGACTGCCTGTCAATCTGTAAAGAATTTATTGATTTAAAAAGATTTTAAACTAAAGAAGTTCAATGATACAAAAAATTATTTGTTAATAGATATAATAAATCAATTTTTTATTAGTATATGAACAAACAATTATTGAATTTTTTTACTAAGTTATAAAATAGGATGATCCAAAAATTAGTTAACTGTCTTTTTTGTTTTGTTTTCTCCCAGTATATAAATCATAAATTGAGTTTAAAACATGACTTTTGTACATAAAATTTGGTGGAAGCATGATCAGAGGTATAAGTGAATTAATTGCATTTTTCAGTTAGTTAAATACAATTTAATCTGTACAACAGTTAACTGATTTTGGGACAGTGTGTTTTGGGACAATACACACTGTCCCTGCACATCAACTAAAAATATAGCTTAACACAATAAATTTTTAATACCACACCATAATTATTTGTTAATTACTATTAACAAACACATTAAAAAAAATTAATACATCAACAAAGCTGTACAAAATAAAACTGATACTAGGGATAAATCCTTATTTAAATTTCTAATAAAAATATTAATTAGCTATTGGATATTTGCCAATACATGATTAAACTTCTACTTCTCCATATCGGTGCATATGTAATAACTTATATACAATTATCCAGCTAGATTGAGGGAAAAAGTAGTCCAGATTTCTAGACATGGTAAATATATATTTAAAATATAAAATAAGCAACAAAAACTGTATTTCACAAATACAAATTAAAACATTTCTAAAACAGGGCCTATTTGATTATTATTATACTCCACATCAACCAAGTTGATAGCAACATCAATATTGCCTGAAACCACAGTATATATTTCCACATTCAACAGTGTGTCATTGGTACACAAAGGAATTTTTTAAAATGATTTATCCACTCTCTCTCGTGACTTAAGTTTTTATTACTGTGTACTTGTTTTTAGTTTTCATATGTCAATAGTTTTAAAACAAATGAAGTATTATAGTGTTATTTATTGTAAATAATTCAATAATGTAAGGACTCTTGTAAATAAATTCTATGACAACACTACATTGTGTGTAAGCGTATTAATGTTCTTCAGTAATTCACTTGTTGTGTTGTCTGTTTTTACTTACACGTCACTATCAACTTGGTTGAGATGGAGTATAATCCTCTTAAAATATAGAATACCATGTGTAGTGTAATATTTAGGATTAAAATTAATTAAACAAAGAAAAGTAAAGAACATAATGGAATTGATATCGTGTGATGCATACGCCTCAGAAATGAAAACAAAATGGCAGTATGGCAAACTACAATCATGCTACAGCCTGCCAAATTCAAAACTGGCCAGTTTTCTGGAAGCCAGATAATTGATCCATTACTGTATTGCAATATTACATAGAGTTGCAATTTCTAAATTAATTATATGATTTTTAAAAAGTAATTTTAGATTATTACCAATCCTTCCAATTCCTGAGGGAATTTCGTTTGGAATTTTACATTTGTTCCTTCGGAATAGTCTCTTTGAATAAATACCTTTCGGCAACCTGTAGAAGGTCGTGTTCCGTCGTTCACTGCATGATTCTGTAAATGAAAGTTTTTAATTAATTATATTTTACTAAACTATAAATTATACCTATATCTGTTTAATAAATTCAAATACATTTTAATATCATAATTATATGTTAATTTAAACCATTTGAAAGATTTTAAGAAAAATCTCACAGTTTCTCATAACTCTTAACTTTGTAACAGGCATTCCAAAACCTCAGCCAATACATGATTAAACATCTACTTTATTATAAACAGTTGGAAATGAATTTACAGTGCCTTGTAAATTCACCTCCAATAAAAATAGTCTCTTTCTATCATAAATATTTTTTTATTTTTTAAATATCATCATCATCTATTATTATGTTTCTACATAATAATGACGATAATAGTATGATTTTTGTCAAAAAATAAAATAAAATATGCTAGTATAGTATATTTGAATTAATATTTTAGAATTTCAAAATTATTAATGTTTTTTAGTTATTTAAGTATTTTTTATGGCTGTAAAACTTCCTTAATCATTTATAAATGCCTGTAAAATAAGTCCAACTAATGGACAACTGTGCCCAAGTCTTCGTCAGACTGTTCTGAGATCCAAAAAATGTGAAAAGTGAAGAAAAATGAAAACACTCATTTTTTTAGTGTTTCTTTTTCACTAGTTATAAATAACCATCTTCCTGGTACATTATTTATTTTTATTTGCTTAATCATTTATTTTCCTAATGGAAAAGAAAGCCATTTCCTATTATATCTTTTAATTAAAAGGAAAAAAAAAAGAAATGTTTAAAAATAACTGTGTATCAGTTTTACAGGTCATTTATGGTGCATAACAGTCACGTTATATGTGATTATTTTGTGGAAAGACGAGATTTGATGTAAACAATTTCCAGCAAACTGCATGTAAAACTAACATAAGTAATCTTTCTTCTTCCTATTTCTCTAAACGGGTGATAAAACAATCTTTTTTTATTGAAATAAAAATCGTTACAAATTCAACGTATGTACGGTTCTGCATTATTTACATAACCTATTTCCTTCTAGAATATTTTGTTTATTCTTGCACTTCCTTTGTCCTGTGGTTAGAAGGAAAAAATAATTTGATCTTTAAACTATTTTCTGATGCAATTCTGCTATTCATTCATTCGTTTCTCTAACAAAGATGTATAAAAATTAATAAAGCCTATTTTAAATTATTAAAAATATCTTATAAATTCAAATTCATCAACATTAAAATATTTATACTGTTTTATTAGTTTATTTTTATTTAAATGTAGTAACTCACAACATAAATTGTTTATTAGTTTGTACAGGGGTGAATCCAAGAGGCTATAGGAGTTTAAGCCCACCTTACTGGCACAAAAAATAATAAAATTTGTTCATTCAAACTTCAAAACATTGTTTTTAAAAACATTTATGGTGGCAAATATGGTTTGTCTGACCACCTGCAATACAACTGTCATGTGCACATTAATAAAATGTATTAATTATTCAATTGTTTTAAACTTTCGAGCTAGCCTCACCTTTGGATTCTTCTGAATGCAGTACTGAGTACAGAACTTAATGAAAAAATATACTTATTTCAATTTTATACAAATTTTACTCAGTTCTTNAAAAATAGTTTGCAATATTTACAGTGTATTTTTATTTATAAAATTTCTGTAAAAATCAAGTTAAAAATGATTATCCTAAAATTATTTTATGCATTTTTCATTTCTTAACAATAAATGTCAGATAAACAACAGTTTCATACAACTGCTGAAACAGAAGAAAATGCCATAATTTAACAAATATATGAGCAAATATTTATTGTGACACTGTCGCAATGCTGGCTGCAATTTTTAATCATATTTTTAATTTATTTAACTTAAAATATATCCTTTCAACCTCATATTAGTATGGCTTGCCTCTGTACAACATACTTTCCTTGTTTAGCAATAAAGTCATGCTAGTCATCTATCTAACATCTTTTGGGAGAAAATTTTTGAATTGAAATAATGTGACTTCCAGTCTGCATTGGAGCTTTGTATATAGTTAATTGGGGCCTCCTGCCCCTACACTTTCCATATCTGGTCTCAGCTTTCATCTATCTAACTCCATTCTTGAAATTAAAGGATAGAAAGACAGAGACGAATGACAGTGGGAATATATTAGTCTACAGTTTTTTTCAGCTGCAGCCCAATAACAATAGCAACAACTCAACTATTCGGATACTTTTTGGGCTACGTTAATTTGGATCCAATCATTTGGCATTAATTTAAAATTATAATACAGGACAAATTAATACCAGTAAACATTTTGCAAACTATTTCTGTAGGAAGGAATATCAATCCATAGCAAAGCTTGCCATATCAAAACATCTTTAAAGATGCATTTCAGGATCATTCTTCCCCTTTTCAGTATAGCATCTGAAATACACCGTTTTATTTTATTTATTAGTACAGTTTTTTAATTTATACAAAAGTTGAACTATGAACTACTTAATTTTTCTGTTTTAATTTTTTGACAAGACATCTCTGAAATAAAACAACATTTGGCATATCAATGGGACATTTCTTCTATGCTTATAACTAATTTTAGAGAAATTTTCTAAATGAAGGTAAATTGTTATAATGTTTCATAAATTAATCATCACAAAACATTTGCAATGTTTTATAATGGTTTTACAATACTTCTTTGTAAGGCAGCAAGCATCCAATAATAAGTTCTTATTCCATGTTGAAACTCTGTTCCAAAATAAAATGCTTTCAAACTATAACTAAACTAAACTAAGCTAAAAGAAACATGTAAGTAGAGAGTGAAATTCTCTTGTATAAATAAATTGCACTTATGTATTTTAGATGTCATACTGAAGAAGAGAAGAATGATAGTGAAATGTGTCTAGGGCAATTGGTGAAATAAAAATGTTTTGACAATATAAGCATTGGTATAGATTGATATTCCTTCCTACAGAAATAATTTTCAAAACAGCAATACAATACAGTTTCAAAGTACTGCTATTTTACTAGTAAACATCTTAAAACATAGTAAAATAATGCTTAAATTAATCAATTTCTTGAATACAATAGTATTCTACAACATATCAAGGACAGAACTTGTAGCAAATAATTTTTTTTTTGAGATTTCAGACTTTTCTGGTAATGTACTCAATATCCTCTTCCAACTGTATAATTTTATTTTTCTGTAAAAATCTTGCTTCTACTTAAACATGTTGTATTGGTAAGTGAACCAATGAGCAAGTTAGTGTGAGACCTGGGCTAAACAAAAAAAATTTAATTAAATAAGTTAATTAAAAATTTTATTTCACACCTAAACAAAAAAATTTCTAACTCTCAACTATGATAGCAAGAAATGATTCTTTTTCTCATAGACTTACTTCCTTGTCCAGAGATGACACATACTGAATGTGTCACTTTTGACTGTATCAGGAACATAACATCAAAAATTGTTATTGATTTAACTAACCATTATCATTACCACAAATGGACATAGAAATCAAAAGGAGAGGACCCCAAATAAAAAGAATCAAGTGTTCACTCCAAATATGGAGTGAACACTTGATGACGACACATTCTCACTGCCAATTGCCACCAGGAACTAGATGTGACCTGTCAAAAGTGCCCATACCACCATCTTGTTAACCACTCTGCAGTGATTGACGGATATACCTGTCAAGGGCGATTGCGTGACAATGGTGAACAATGTCTATATCCACAAAGGAATTTTGCAGATATCGCCAAAAACTACTGCGAAAAAAAATTCACATAAAAAGGAATTATGTTTATTGTGTAACAATAGAAAAAGATTTTTCTTTACTAGACATAACTGTTTAAAAAATTTTTTCCGAAATGGTAACGAGAAAAATGCGTGGGAAAATACTTAAAAAATTTCCCATGTTTATTCTTCACTACATGATAGTGTGTGTATCGGGGGCCGTAAAAGGTTTATTAAACACTTTTTTAGGTAGAGTCCTGCCACCAGGTGTGTTTTATCGGACACACCACCGTTTGAGATAAAATGGATGATTAAGGCGCGAGGGTAAGAGTCACTCTGAAGTCCAGGAATAAGCCTCTTAGGAGGAAAAATGCAGAGTCAGATATAACCAATTTAAGAACATTTATTAACATAAACAAAAGTTTGGAACAGAGTTATAAAAACCGATTTTGGAAATTTGCCTATTCTTTTCTATTCAACGAGGGGTATCTAACAGGGGGGGTATTCCGAACTTACGCGACTCACAACATACCAGATAAACAAGATGTCTTCTCTTGTGACGTTGATTTGACGGCCAAGACTGCGGAGGTTTCTGGTGTTCACTGCACTTCGTCTGGTTCTTGCTCGTTTTTGAGTTGTCTTCTCTTGAGCCACTCTTTCTCGGGTTGGAGCTGTGTCCACAATTGCTGACTATTTCGCTGTCTCCTTCTAACTGTCTTTCTAACGGGACTGTGTCCTCACTCCGACTGCCTTTTTCTGACTGGAGCTGTCTCTCCTTTCTGACTGAACCTTCTCTAACTGCACTGTGCCTCTTCTCTGACCGCACTTTCTCTAACTCACTGTGTCGCCATCTCTGACTGAACTGTTTCTGACTGGAGCTTTCTCTCCTTTCTGACTGGACGATGTCCTCCTCTCTGACTGAACTGCCTCTAACTCACTGTATCCCCATCTCTAACTGAACTGACTAACAGGACTGTCCTTTCTCTTGTTGGGGCTTTCCTTTTAAACCCTTTCAGCATGAGAAAGTCATCATCGGGTGATGACTCATTGGCAGTGTCATCATTGTAGCTGAGACAGTGTTTTCTTATTTGGGGATGACTTGCAGCTTTCTTAGAGTCATCTTCTGAGTCGACATGACTCATCTTTGTTCTTAGTCATTGTTTGTTCATTGCTTGCTTTGACTAAGTTCTTCATGTAAACATTGCCGAAAACAAAGGGGGATGCAATGTTCCTCATTTCTATATAATTTTTGATTATTTGGTTGCTTTTTCCTCTTTTCTTTGGCATGTTGTGAGATTTTGAATGATAAACCGTTTTAT